TCCGAACGCAGTGATTTTGCACAGGCCGTTATCGATGCCGGGCTGCGATTTATTGGTCCAACGCCTGAGGTGGTGCAGAATATGGGAGACAAAATGGCTGCTCGCAAAGCAGCGGCTGAAGCAGATGTTCCAACTGTGCCAGGTTCAGTTGGAGCAGTTGAAAACAAAGAAGAAGCAGTTGCTTTCTGTAAAAAACATGGTCTTCCTGTCATCTTCAAAGCAGCGTACGGCGGCGGAGGCCGTGGCATGCGTGTTGTGGAAAAAATGGAGGATGTCGAAGAGAATTTCGAACGCGCAACCCACGAGGCAAAGGCAGCTTTCGGCAACGGAGAAATGTTCATTGAGAAATTCATTGAGCGACCGCGCCACGTTGAAGTCCAAGTGTTAGGTGACAAGGCTGGAAATATTATACATCTATACGAACGCGACTGCTCCGTCCAGCGTCGACATCAAAAAGTTGTTGAGATCGCCCCTGCCCCACACCTTCCTGTAGAACTCAGGGATAAGATAACTGATGCGGCATTACGGTTAGCCAGGCATGTGGGATACGAGAACGCGGGCACTGTGGAGTTCCTATGCGACGAATGTGGAGAGTTCTACTTCATTGAAGTGAACGCCAGGTTGCAGGTGGAGCACACGGTGACTGAAGAGATCACAGGAATAGATCTGGTTCAGTGTCAGATACGGATTGCCGAAGGTGTGACACTTGAGGAGCTGGGACTCAAACAGGAAAATATTGTAACACGTGGCGTTGCCATTCAGTGTCGCGTGACTGCAGAGGATCCTGCCAACGACTTCCAACCAAACACTGGACGTATAGAAGTTTTCCGTTCGGGCGAAGGCATGGGTATTCGTATAGACAGCGCCTCGGCCTATGCTGGAGCCATCATATCGCCCTACTACGATTCGCTGCTCGTCAAGGTGATATCCCATGCCAGTGATCTGCAGAGTGCAGCGTCGAAAATGGACCGATCATTGCGGGAATTCCGTATTCGAGGTATCAAGACGAATATCCCCTTTCTCCTAAATGTTCTTGAGAACGACAAATTCTTGAAGGGTGTACTAGATACATATTTCATAGATGAGCATCCGGACCTATTTAAATTCACAGCCTCTCCGAATCGTGCCCAAAAACTTTTAACTTACTTGGGTGAAGTGTTGGTAAACGGACCACAAACGCCATTGGCTACAACGCTTAAGCCGGCCAAGATTCATCCTCATGTACCCGAAACACCAGTGGGTAAGTACTCTTATTCAGTCTGTTGTTTAAGTTAATTGTTCCAGCTTTGACCTAAGTTTTGAAAGCGTTTTATGCGTATTTCCTTTTGGAAAGTCCGCACCTTTTTCTAATTATTTTTGTTATATATTTGTTTTCCAACTTTTCTTAATGTCCACCAAGTTTAACCGCTCAAACATTAGTGTCGTCTCCCCTCCTTTTATCGATGTTGTCTTATTTCCAACATCGATACATTCACTAATTCTATCGATACATACATCGCTTAAATCTAATGCTAAAGTATTTATTACAATGTTTACAGTTTTATGTATTATTAGAGTCTTAGTACAAGTAACATTTCTCTTGTCGGTAGTTTCTAACTATAAAATACGATTAACCCTTATTACTATTGGAGATTCATTCTTTGATTACTTCGGTGCTTATTGTCCGATTTTCTGAATATAAATGTGGGATTATTCTTATTAGCTGGCGACCGTTACCAATATACCCCACTAAAAATGAATAAAAAACGAGAAATTAAGGATATCTTCGGCACGCCGAAGATTTAATGCCCTTGCAGACATTTCCCTTTTGCCCATAGATACAGACAGACGGGCATGGCTATATCGACTTGGCTTTTGATTTCGATCACGAATATTTATACTTTATGAGGTCGGACATGACTCCTTCTATGCGTTACACATCTCGAGACGAAATTATTATACCCTATAATGATTAGCTAAAACTTAAAATTAAATGTAAAATATCCAACTCAATTACAGCGACAGATGTGCCAGAGGGTCTGCGTGACATCATTACATGTGTAGGACCCGAAGCTTTCGCCAAGGAGGTGCGTTGCCGAAAGAATCTACTGCTCATGGACACTACTTTTCGGGACGCACATCAGTCCCTGATGGCCACGCGTGTCCGCACCCACGACTTGCTGAAAATATCCCCATACGTGGCGCACAAGTTCAATAATCTGTATTCATTGGAGAATTGGGGCGGAGCCACATTCGACGTGGCACTACGATTCCTGCACGAGTGCCCATGGGAGCGCTTGGAGGAGATGCGCAAGCGCATCCCGAACATACCATTCCAGATGTTATTGCGTGGCGCCAATGCCGTTGGCTACACCAGTTATCCTGACAACGTGGTCTACAAGTTCTGCGAACTAGCGGTACGTACAAATTTAACAGCATGTTAAGCAGCATGTTAAAAATATGTTGAACAGCTTGTTAAACAGCATGTTAAAAAGCACGACTTTAATAAGAGTCATTTGTTCTTTTTTGGTTAGGTGCAAACTGGCATGGATATTTTCCGAGTGTTTGACTCACTCAACTATTTACCGAATTTGATCCTCGGTATGGAGGCGGCTGGTAAGGCCGGCGGAGTTGTAGAGGCGGCCATCTCCTACTCAGGGGATGTAAGTGATCCCAAGAGGACCAAGTACGATCTCAAGTACTATACCGACTTGGCTGATGAACTGGTGAAGGTCGGAACTCATGTGCTGTGCATTAAGGACATGGCGGGTCTACTAAAGCCAGAGGCAGCAAGGTACGCTTAAACATATCCCGACCTTGGTCGGTCAAGCTTTCAATTTTAGACATCATTTTTCGATCCAATTCCCGGTGGAAAAGTAAATCTACCTGTGTTATCTTGAACTTTACATATTAGGTTATATTTTACATAGTATTTGAAATTCAGTTGGAATTAACATTTTCCCCAGTATGGTGTTGAAGTAGAAAGCTTCCAAGGAGCTAGATTTAGCGAAAAGTGTGAAACATAATCGTATTTAATTACGAGTTAGAAAACGATAAAATGGTAAACAAAAATCGTTTTCCATTGTAAGATTTTGAATAATTTGAATTAAAATTCTAAAAAATCCGCTAAGTTATTGCCACAGTTAAATATCCACTGTTAAATAAGTTATTACATATGTAACCCTGTTAAATGTAATTGATATATCGATACAAACCGAAGGAATGTATCGATATTTCAATAAGTAACCGATCACTTTTTGAAAGATTGTGAAACCGTGCGGCTGTGTCGAAGAAGAAAAAACAATTGTAGGTTGATGACAAGTCAGTCAGTGAGGATAAACATTTTTAAAGATATTTAACTTGCGTATAATTCATTGCTGTGTTCATTATTCCCCACAGGTTGCTGATAACGGCCATCCGAGACAAGCACCCAGACGTTCCAATTCATGTCCATACCCATGACACTTCGGGCGCTGGTGTTGCATCTATGCTTGCTTGCGCGCAAGCCGGAGCAGATATTGTTGATGTTGCTGTCGATTCCATGTCTGGAATGACCTCACAGCCAAGCATGGGAGCCGTTGTCGCCTCACTGCAAGGCACACCGTTGGATACGCAGATGAACTTGAATGACGTTTCCGAGTATTCGGCATACTGGGAGCAAACCCGCACTCTTTATGGACCATTCGAATGTACCACCACGATGCGATCGGGCAATGCTGATGTCTATTTGAACGAAATACCCGGTGGCCAATATACCAATCTGCAATTCCAATCGTTTTCACTCGGGCTGGGTGATTTGTTTGAGGATGTGAAAAAAGCCTACAGAGAAGCCAATATTGTGCTGGGCGATATAATAAAGGTGACTCCATCATCCAAGGTTGTCGGTGATTTAGCACAGTTCATGGTACAGAACAAACTAACTGGCGCTCAAGTTGTGGAGAAAGCGGAGGAACTTTCTTTTCCCAAATCGGTGATTGAGTACCTACAGGGCTACATCGGTATTCCGCATGGCGGTTTCCCAGAAGAATTCCGGAAGCGTGTATTGAAGGATATGCCACGCGTTGAAGGTCGACCAGGTGCTGAGATGGAGCCATTTGACTTTGACAAGCTAACTGACGAACTGTGTAAATCTCACGGAAACATAAGCGACCGAGATGTCGTATCGGCCGCTCTCTATCCGCAAGTGACCAATGAATTCCTGCATTTCCGTGAAAAGTTTGGTCCCGTCGATAAGCTCGACACTCGCATGTTCCTCTCAGGCCCCAAAGTGGGTGAAGAATTCGAAGTGACTCTGGAACGTGGCAAGACTCTGAGCGTGATGGCCTTAGCCGTGGGTGAAGATCTCAAGCCAAACGGTAGTCGCGAGGTGTTCTTTGAATTAAACGGTCAACTGCGCTCTGTGCTCATTCCCGATAAAGTGGCTATGAAGGTAAGTACACAGTGTTGACTATGTGTACCATTTCATTTATGCTCTTCACTTAATTTTTAAGGAAATCCGTGTGCATCCAAAAGCTAATAAGGCGGCGAAAGGTGAAGTGGGCGCCCCAATGCCCGGCAATGTTATCGAAATTCGTGTCAAAGAAGGCGACAAGGTTGTAAAGGGAGAGCCTCTTGTCGTGCTATCAGCAATGAAAATGGAAATGGTAATTCAGGCGCCAGATTCCGGTACAGTGAAGCAAGTGGTAGTTAAGATGGGTATGAAGTTAGAGGGTGAAGACCTTGTACTGATCCTAGAGTAATAAATACAAAATGCGATAAACAATGCTGACTAGTAAAGTATACAATGTTTCCTTCTGTCTGCTGCACAAAGTCGCCAATTTTCAGAATTTCTTGCCCTTTCAGTAATCCTTACTTTCATTTTCTTTAAATGACAGTTTGTTTTAAAACACTCCAAAGTCATTCTCTATTTCCCAAAACCCAGTTTTAGTGTGCACCTTTATAATATAAGGTAACTGGTTGTTTAACTTAGTTAATTAATAAACAGATAGATAATATAAAATAAATAAAAACACATAATCATATAGATCAATAACAGAAAAAATGTAATTTTACATACATTTTACGATAAACTCCATAAAAGCTAGATCCTTGTTTAACTCGGAAACCCGTTTGAAATGCCGCTGCACATAGGGAGTTAAAACCTCAACTAGATTGCCATTGTTGTAGAACCTTTGTGAAGTGTTGAGCAAAGCATCTCCCAGCAAATGTTGCAGCACCAGGTTAGCAATATATGAGTGACGAGAGTTGGTGCCCCACGCTTTAACGTGCTGCAGCAACACCAGTCTTTGATCCATATTTAGTTGATCCACCAGGTGACGCACAGCATCGGCATCTCGTTTGCGCATGAAATGGCAAATAATGTCGTACGAGGCCTTTGGCTTGTCTAACGTTAGGGCAAGCTTAAAGGCCTTCTCAAGCTGCTCTTGTGCGTGCAGAAGCGAGTGGAGGGTCTGCTCCTGCTGCAAAATAGCCTGTCGCTGGTCCAAGGCTTCATTGCGTACTGTTTCAGTGACGTCATCAAAACGAATAAGCTTCGAATCCGCACCACCCGTGTAGAAGAAGCGGTTACTGCACGCAGAAACCGCCACAGACCAGACGCGATCGCTGTGCTCATCGATCGACTGAACACAAATGTTGGTTTTAAGGTTCCACAGTTTTAGCAAACCATCGGAGGCAGCAGACAATATGAACTTGCCGTGATCGAGAAACTCAACACGCAGTATAGTGCACTCCTGCTCTAGACGCTTCAGGCAACTGAAATTGGCAATTGACCATATTCGCAGGCTGCAGTCCGACGAGGAGGTCACCACAATTTGGTCGACGGGCGAGAAACGTACGCACCACACACCGCGCGTGTGGCCCCTCAGCACACCGAGCAGCACGTTTGTGTCCGCGTTCCAAAGCTTTGCTGTCTTGTCCTGCGATGCGGTTGCCAGAATCTTATTGTTGAGCGCATACGTAACGCAGTTGACCTCTTTGTCGTGGGCCAACGCAGCATACCGCAGAGAGAACGCGTATGTGTTGCGATCCTGCTTGTCACGTGATAGCTGCCATACTTTCATGCTACCGTCCTGGCAGGCGGAGGCGAAGCCCTTGGCGCCGTTGTGTGTGATGGCCACGCAGCCAATGGTGGCCGTGTGGCATTTGCTTTGCTGGGTAAGCGGCTCCAACAGGCAATCTGTCTCATACGATAACTTCCACAGGTGTATGCTGCAATCTTTTCCCACGGAGATGAGCAGATTTTGTGACGCGGCCAATGACATGACTGTGTCAGAGTGCCCGGAAATCAGACGGCAATTCATGTTTTGCTCCGTGTCATACAGCTTGAAGTGCTTGCTGTTCGTCGCCACAGCCAAATAGCGATCTTTGTCCCCCAGGAAGCACATATCCAAAATCTCATCATTGTAGCCCACCAGCTGCTTCACTAGTTTAACCTCCGCACTCTCGTTCTCGGTGTTCACATCATATATGATTATATTTTGCTCAGTTGTAATAAGCGCCAATTGTTGTTTGCTGCTGCAGTAGAGTAACCGGCTTATTTCGAACTCTGTCTTAAGAAAAAGATCCCGTATTTTCCACGATTTCGTATCAATTTGCTGCAGTTTGCCAGAGCCACAGGCGACCAGCAACTGTGCACCATCGGCTATATGAGTGACGCCCTCCAGTTCTTCATACAATGGTATAGTCTTTGACTGAATCCAGCTGTTCGCCTGCTCGGACCGCTGCCAAACGATAAGCACCTTGTCGCGACTCACTGTTACCAGTTGACTGCAGTCGGTTGCTGCATTCCTGAAACTTAGGCCTGTTACTTGCGAGATGTGTCCCCGCATTTTATGCAGCATTGTCTTCGTCTCGTAATTCCAACAGTATATCGTGTTATCGGCGCCAACAGCATAAATTTCACTTTTTAAGGGACTTGGGTGAAATTGCAACACAAGTGATGGGCCAGGAAAATCTTTCAAAGCGCACAGGCAACTGTTGTTAGCAAAATCCCAAAGTCTCAACGTAGCATCTGCACCGCCACTCGTGCAGATGAACTTGCCGCACGGGCTGAACTCGATTCGGACAACAGGCCCCTTGTGCTGACTCTTCCACAGCTTAGCCAGCTTTTGCGTACTTAACTCCCATAGGCGGAGCAAGCCACTTCCATGTGCGGTAACCAAATGCTCCGATGACATTGCAAAGCAGTAAATGTTGTCCTCGTCCACCTCAATGCCTTCGAGTCCCTCAGAGATTTTTGATTTTCCCGCATTTCCAACAGACTCACCTTTGTTGGAAACGTTTACTCCAAAGCTGCTCACAATTTGAGATGTTTCGACGTCCACCTGATTGACAACGTCGCCATTCAGGCAGTAAATGTGCTTCCCATTTTCACTCCAGGTAATATCGCTTCCCGCATAAAAATTTGTGTAGCGAGCTTCAGCCGCATATCTGAAAAGCATTTAATAAACCGTTAAAATGTAACTGTAATTTATGCAAATCTAGGTTGATAATCTAAGGGATCTTTACGCTTAACTTACCGTTTTTCAGCCACACTTGACAGCATGGTTATTTTTGTTTACAAAATTGAAAAAGGCCACCTCGTGTGCATTGGAGCTGGGAGGAATATTCCAAAAGAACTAGTTCATATTTGCACATATTTTGATCAAGTACTAACCGAATAATAAATATTTTTGGTGTTATTAATTAGCAGTTAGTTTTGTAATAATTTGGGTTTTCTTTCATCATTATTTTGATCGTCAAATATTTAAACAGTTTGCATTATATCTTAATATTAGTTTGGAATTACTCAACACTTAACAAAATTGAAAAGTCTGGCAACACTGAGCATGATTTGCAGCTGTCAAATGAAAAGCCGTCAAATCATCGTCCCTACTTGTTTGCAAGTTTGCCTCATATATTCAATTTTGTTAACACAGAGTCAAATTCAAATTCCCAAAAAAAAACATGAGTACAATTGGCACTGGGGTAAGTATGGAGTATTAAAATTACATCAGACATAAGACGTTTCTTTTTTGCAGTATGATCTTTCGGCCTCGCAATTCTCTCCGGATGGTCGCGTCTTTCAGATCGACTATGCATCCAAAGCAGTGGAAAAGAGCGGAACCGTAATTGGTATCAGAGGCAAGGACTGCGTTGTTCTTGCTGTTGAAGAAATTGTAGTGGACAAACTTTATGAAGTAGATGCAGCGCGTCGCATATTTACCATTGAAAAGAACATTGGCATGGCCATCGCTGGACTCATGGCCGATGGTAATTTTGTGGCTGATATTGCTCGCCAGGAAGCAGCAAATTTCCGTCAGCAATTCGAGCGCACTATTCCTCTCAAACATTTATGCGATCGCGTTGCCGCCTACGTCCACGCATACACACTGTACAGCGCTGTGCGTCCATTTGGACTGTCTGTAATATTTGCCTCGTGGGACGAGACAGATGGACCGCAGATATACAAAATTGAGCCGTCCGGTACGTCTTTTGGCTATTTTGCATGTGCCAGCGGCAAGGCCAAGCAACAGGCTAAGACAGAGATGGAAAAATATAAATTTGCCGACATGAGCACTGATGAATTGGTGCAAACTGGGGGTAAAATGTACGACATATCGCTAATTGACTCACGGCTATGGTTATTAACTTCTTTTGTATTTACAATTTCAGCATTTATCAAGTAAATGACGAGGTAAATAACAAAGATTTCCGCTTTGAAATGGGCATAGTTGGGAGAGAAACGAATGGAGTGCATTTCATCAACCACGCATTATGGAGTCATTTGGCCATTAAAGCCGGCAAAGATGCAAAAACAGCTGATGGTGATAATGAGATTTAAGTTGAAAATTTGAAATATGTTCATCTGATTCTAAATCGGCTTTATATAATATTTTATAATTCGCAAATGTCAAAAAATACAGAAACGATTTTGCCCAATTTATAACTATTTAGTTTAATTACTATCTAAATTACATTTAAGAAGTGTCAACTCAAAAGTTAAGAGATCAAACGGTTGAATATACCTCGGAGATCTGCATTATATATAAATTCTATGACATACAACAATGATTTGATTGAAAAACTATAGTTTGGAGCGATTGTATGCTGGAAAATGCAGAGGCTCGATTGTGATAAGGCTTAACTTGAAAATGTTGTTAAATTACACTTCCCAAATTCCCATATAAACTCATTTTACTAAGGATGAATACCTCGCAAAACTGTTTGCACTATTATGTTTATATATCTTCGACTGACTGAACGCTAAAGAAAAACTCCAATTTTAACTAGCTACACGTTTGTTTTGAATTGAAAACATATATTAATTTCCTGAGCTTATATAGTCCGTATTCAGTTAATGATAGATGCTAAATATAAATAAAGGCTGTGCCCGAAATAGAATGTCGTCTTCCAGAAGGGGTTTAATTCAGACTTCCACGATAAAGTTTTATCGGTAACTATTCATTTTCAAATAAATGCACAAAGAGAGAAAGGAGAAAATGTGGGGGTACAATAAGGGTACATTTAAAATTACTTTCCTTTATACATTATAGATACTAAACAATGGATAGTATATCCGCAGTTGTTTTTGTCTAGATCTATCTATTGCTTGAGTGTTCAGCCTTTATGCTTTTATTGAATATTTAATAACTATGGCAGCATTATATTTTGAGCATTTAATTTATTTCTAAAATGTGGCAACGCTGTTGCAGTGCACATCTGTTTCTTTCGCGCCAAAAAAGGTAAACACTTAAACAGAAGTAAATAGTTTTGGTTGTAAAATGGTGACATTAATTGAACAGCTAATTTCGAAAATGGGTCTAAATGATGAGCCCAACGTTTTAGAGTAAGTATTATCAATAATAAGTAAATAATAACGATAACGATAATAATTATGAATCTTTAAATCTCTGGATATTAGAAAAACAACTGAGCTACTGCGATTGTTGGAGCTTCGCTCCTCGAACGTTCCACTACAAATAAATGAGTATGGGAAAATTGTTTTGTGCGCGGACCTTGCGTCATGTCTGCTTGGAATTGGATTTGACAAGGAGCAAGCCCTCAAACTGTCGGCATTGCGTAAAAGTCATTACGCTAATAACAAGCGCATGTTTGAGAAATTACTTGATCTGAATAGACTGGTTTCTGTAAACGATATTTGTGTGCAGCTCAGTCTTAACGAGGTGTCGCGTAAGGCTGAAGAGCTGTTAGCTTTGTTCAAAAAAGTTGCACGCGAGAATCCAGACGCTGACCATCCGCAATACGCCGCAATGGCTGTGTTCCAGGCGTGTCGTTTAATGAAAAAAAAGGTGTCGAAGACAAAGCTTTTGCCGTTTAGCAATTTGCGTCCAACTCAATGGCAGCAGCTTGAGCAACAATGGGAGCACATGATTACAAAGCATATCAAGGAAGCCGACGTCGCCTCTAGCTTAAATAATAAACTAGACCTCCACCAGGAGAATTCAGTGATCAACAAGAAAAATAGTCAAACTCCTGAGATTGAAGATTATGAAAAATGGAAGTCTCGAATGTTAGCCATGGCCGAAGCTAAACTCAAAGAATCGGCAATCAAAGTGAAGGAGAATATCAATGAATCGTGATATGCATTATTAATCTTAGCGATAATTTCCACTTTTGGCTTAGATATAATTGCTTTTTTTAATTCAAGCTTTAAGTGGTACTTTACGTAACATATACATTTATATTTAACATTATTCTTAGTAAAGTAGTTTAATTGAGTACTTTTTTGTTGTTTAAATGCGTCAAAACATGCGTGTAAAGTATTTCTCCAACGTCTACAGGTTCTCCGTTTGTTTTATGAGCTAAAAATAAATATATTATTGTAAACTCTTAGCAGAAAAAACACATACAATTATAAATAATCAGTTCCACTTCACGTCGAGTTTCCGGCCAGGTGTTCAACAGTTCCTTCAAATGTTTATAAAACTTCAGCCAGATTTCGCGTTTCATTTCCTGCATTTGCCATGTGGCCGACAGTTGAAAGTTCATGGATTCAAAAAATGATAGCATAGGTGTTGCTCCTTCCATGGCAAAGTAGTAAGTTGTGCCATTTATTTGCTTGGTTAGCCTGTAGACCGCATGCTTGAACGGGCGATTTACACCAGCCCGATTGATAAATTGTGTCTCTAAAGGCTGACGTTTTGTATACCGAGAATAAAATGTTTGCTATAACATAAAAACCATTCTTAAAGTAACACTTACATTAGCCTTCTCTAGCAAGCTGCTTTCTATTACGCCTTTGACAAACATTTCATCCGGTATTAGGATGATCAATCGATTCAGCCCGAATCTGACATTATGAGTGTCCTCATATACTTGCATGCGTTTCTGCAAGCCGTCGTGACCGCGTTCAGGCAAAGAGAGCTTTAGATACCCATGGAAATAGTTAGATGCCATCCCAGCAGCGTAATCTAGACCATGGGATTCGCGAATCCAGTGGGCATAGCTCAATGAACTGTGACTCAGCTGGGCATAGCTATAGATCCAGTAAAGTGGTATGTAGATGAGGTGTGCGCTGTTGGGCAGCAAGGGCGTTAAATTGCCAGTGCTACCAAAACGCGCAAGTCCGGTGAATACAAGCCCCAGTATCAAATATACTGCCATGCGGTGATACGAAAAAACGCGCTTTGCAATTGTAATTGCTCGATCCTCAAGCAGGTAGTACTGGCCATTGATAAGATACTCAGTTGACACATAGAACAAACGCTGCATACAGTCAGCAAAAAAAACAACAACAGAAATGCGAATGCAGTTGTCTGCGCCGGAAAATGGCGAAAATATATTAATAAATGTTGTATGATTTCATGATTTTGCGAAGAGTCCTCACCAATATATACGCCCATCATCTTTGGGCACAAACACTTCTTATCACTCCTTTGATCCTCAGACGGAATTGCCATCACACTTGCACGGAAAGCATGTTGCTATAAACTTTCGTGTGCACAAATATATATGGGTATTCCCTTCTCGATCTTGTTTTTTAATAAATGTAATTAATTCATGAAGCCAAAAAGCTTAAACGGCAATAGGTAATGCAGGGCATGAGAACAAAACAAGACGTGTGGACATGTTGCCGCCATTTATTGTTAAACAAATAGTTTTCACTCTGTCTTTCTGCATTTCGCGCCAATTGTCAATCAGCTGTTCGAACAGGCTGCTGTATGTTCACGAAATCTAAAGAATAAGAAAGATTATCGACTATCGGCGAATGTATCGATGATTAAAAAATATTCAGGTTATCGGTGTATCTTAACAAAACTCACATCATTAAATGAAGTGCAAGTGCATTTATAAAAAATACAAAGGCCTTTTTGTCCCGCAGTTATTGGGATGACAAAAAAAAAATCAGTAAAAATTCCATTTGCAATCTGTAATAGTATCTTTCAGAATATTTCGCTAAACATGATCTAATTAACTTATTTGCCCATTTACATGCACACATATGACGCATATTATTGCTTAAATATTAGATAAACAATACTTTACAGTGCATTCACTCTTAATTATATATTTACTTCTCGCAGGGTAAGTTTCAAAATCAGAAAAATCACATAAATGCTATGCATACTCTTAAACATTTACAATTTTCAATTCTCTGATTTAGCAGCAAAACTCTGGCTACGACTTCGAGGCGTTTTTCTTTTTTTTCTTTTTGTTGTACTGATAAAACACAATAAGAGGGAAGTAGTATAAAGTCGTATTACTCACCACGCCTTTGCGGTTGAAAAAAACTAGGTCTTGCTCGCATCAACACCCACATAATGCCGATATTATATAGTGTTATAGCCCGTGGCACGACGGTGCTGGCTAAGTTTGCTGAATGTGTTGGCAATTTTGCAGAAGTAACGGAACAAATAATGGGCAGGATTGGCATTCACAATCACAAAATGACCTACACACACGGCGACTATTTAATACATTACACTTGCGAAAATAAGCTGATTTACATGTGTATAACCGACAACGTAAGTTGAATTTCTTATGTTGATTATTAACTAAATAGTAAATCGTTTTTCTTTGTTACCATATGCACACAGGAATTTGAACTTCCACGCGCTTTTCTCTTCTTGGCGGACATTAAGCAGAAATTTATACAGACTTATGGCTTACAGGTTGCTACAGCAATTGCCTATGCAATGAACACGGAGTTCTCCAAAATTCTGTCCCAGCAAATGGTATACTATAGTCAATCGCGAGATGTGGAAACCTTAACCCGTGTACATGGTCAGGTTGACGAACTGAAAGATATAATGATTAAGAATATTGGTAATATTACATCGAAATTCGCCTGCGTTTGTCAGTTGTTTATACCATCGTTTCTTTTCGCAGATAGTCTGCGCGATCGGGGCGAGAAACTGGAGCTGTTGGTCAATAAAACAGAGAACTTAAGTAATAACGTAAGTATAATTAAAAGCCAAATCATTAGGAAAATTATTGAAATTAAATCTTTATCAACTAGTCAGTTGCATTCCGCAAAGCGTCGCGCAATTTGGCACGTCAAATGTTTTGGAAAAATATTCGCATCTACGTTGTCGTCGGCTTAGTAATCATATTTATTATTTATGTAATTGTAAGCATGGCCTGTGGTGGCCTTGCCTGGCAGTCGTGCATTCAATAGGCCGATGCGATGCGAAAGTTCGAATTGTTATAGTTCATAGCGATGTTTATTTACATATTTAACTTTCGTACTATCATAATCTCTGTTATATTTAATAAAGATGAATGTATAAAGTATATTTAAAAAAAAATGTCCGCTCGTAGTATTCTGATTCAATTGTCCTCCACATAAACGATGTCATTGGCCTTAACATTTCCTGGACTCCGGAGACCCAAATGCAATCCCATCGCTGGCGACGGGTAGTCGAACAAACGATAGCTGTAAGCGATTGGCAAAAGTTTAAGTGTTAAGCGCGGAAATATTCATATTGGGCTTTGATAATGCCCCATATTGCCCATCTACCTGCGAAGTGTTTTCAGCGGATCGCCGTCGATGTCCCGCTCAGCCGTTCTAACGTTTATGTTCGTGAAAATGCACCGAGTGCAAGGTGCAACTACACGAAAGATAGCCTCGTTGCCGATGCGTATCCATTGCCAGTGGTCTTCGGCGTAAGGCTCATCAACGTCCATTTTCAATTCAAAGTTGCCACGGAATTGTAGCGGGTCAACGGGGCGCTTCAGGCGCGTGTTTAGATCATCGATCGAGGATAAATTCAAAAGCATGTAGCTGGTTGCATCATTGAAAGTGCCCTTAAAGTAATATAAATTTGAATTGGTTTTTGCTGTCAGCTGCGTTTTCCAAACCGAACATATACAAATCCTTCTGCCTTTTAAATACATTTGTTCACAACCATTTAACAATTTGTTTTACAAGTTTGGGGTATATAAAAAAAAATGCATGTGAGAGTTATTTTTACGATGTTTCGGGAGTAGATAATGAATGTGTCTGAGCCTAAATTTAACATAGTTTAAGTATGCATATTGTACTTACTGAATCGTCCTGCTTTATGAAAGGCATGTTCTTAAGCCGGGGATTAGTTGCACGCACTGGTACAGGGTATGGGTAATACACAAGCTTCAAGCCCGAATCCTTTTTAAGTATGAACTCTGAGAACCACTTGTCGAAGCGGGTGCCGCACAACATGGCATCCAACGGGACGCCCCACACGGAGGTGTGCACGTCTTTGGCGGGCGTGTCCAAATCTGAAAAGTCCAATTCCAAATCGGGCATGCCAGGTGCACTGAAGATCAGGCCATTAGAGATCGCTTTTGGTTGAATTCGCAGCATGTGCGGATAACCTCTTGCCGTAATCATTTCGTTATTATCATTGAGTAACATAAATTTACGATCACGCACATTCCCCTTGCCTATGCCAAGCACATCACAATCATACTCCTCCTGGTCACCAAGCACCAATGGAGCACAAGACTTAACTGGAAACACGTTGATCTGCTGCAACGTGCCGACACGGCGCCACTTCACCGGCATCAGGTCCCGATTTAGGTGGCGATATATCAAGTAGCCGGCGCCACCTGCAGCGACCAGGCTGACGCCCATTCCGATCAGCATTTTGTTGGAAAGCCCGAAGCCGTTCACTGTGGACACAATGGTCATATCGACATCGCTTATCACTGCAAAATTTTCAATTACATATATTATATTATTACTTACATGATATTTTTGGATCCATCATGCGTTCCTCCACTTATCAATTTTAAGATGGCACAATCGCAATTGTTGCTTTCTTTCAATAAAAAAAGCTCACAAAGCTCTGCGAAGCGGTACAAAAACAAAATCAACGATTATTCGGCTTTGTTGCTATGTAAATATGTGCATATGCATATGCATATGTATATGTTTATGTATATGTAAGTATATGTACATATGTATACTTATATTGGAAGAGGGCAACAAACCAAGTTTCAATTAAGGCTTTGCAGCGGACCAATGTGTAGAAAACCGGCTTGAGTGCAACTGGTGTAACTTGATACGTAAACAGGAGTCCCCTAGTAGGTAGTGACCGACTAGGAAATACCCTGCCTTGCTTCTGCATTTTCCGACTGTATTAAATTTATTTATATTAACATTCATTTTGAAATATTTTAAATATTTTATATATACCAAAATTGTTGTCTCCAGTTCATACAATTTCCAAGAATTTCTCTTAAATCGATATTTATTGACTGTGATTATATGGGAAGAGAAAAGCCTATATATATTTCTTCGATCGATGCTATCTTACAGATAGATATAGGTAGATTGTTATTCTGTAATTTATTTTATTGCAATTAAGAAAATAGAATAGAATATAGTTTGGTCTACACAAAAACCAAAAAATTAAGTCTTTGACATAACAACACAAGATCATTATCGGTTATCGCCTTAACGATTCACAAAAAAAAAATGGCGGAATACCATTAATGCTCTTTACAGTATAACAACCCAGTAATGACCGACACAAATATAGAAGTGGAGAGCAACACGCCAGAGGAACTGGATGTGGGCAGTGAGCAATTTAATCCACTCCGGGCACTCTACGCCGCAGACTTCAAAGTCACAGAAAGGGCGCCAAAAGTTCTGTATCAAAATCTAGCAGCTTTTGAAAGTGCTCTTGTAAAATTCGGCGTTTGGCAACTGAACAAGCGGCAGAAAAACAACGATGTTCCTCCGAAGGCAACAAACAGCAAAAATCCGTTTTCGTCGGTATCAATAGGGGAGCCTTCGAGTGAACGGCGTTTTGAGCCCCATCAAATGCCTATCGAAGGAGCCCCCAAATCGAAATACCAGCGCAATCTTTTCACACATATGGCAGGCGCGGAAGGCCCGTTGGCGTTGCTGCAAAAACATTTGCCAACAGCGGAGAAGCTAGGTCAGATGCGTCTCCGGGTTTACTTGCGCAAGGAACACACTATTGGCGGCAGGATCGACGGGGAACTTGTGGCCTTTGACAAGCAGTGGAACCTCCTGCTGAAAAACGCTGTCGAGGTCTGGCAGCGGCGCAAATATAAATTTGGCGAGCAAAAGATTTGTAGCACACCTGCATCAGATGAATGCAGCAACCGACTACGTCGAATGGGCATCACAGTGCCCGAATTGCATGTGAAAAGTTTAAACCGTAAAAACGTACAGCTACGGCGCGAAATTCCCCAACTGATGGTCCGCGGAGAAAACATAGCTTTAATTACATTTATTAATAATTCAAAAGAGTAAAAGTTGCATTTTCGTCATTAGTGAGTAGTCTTTTTAAATACATCAATTTGTGTATACCATCGGCACACATTCCTCAGCCGCTACGTGCGAGGGTGAGTCGTCCTCCATGAGGTGTTGCAAGCTCTCCTTTGGATAGCTGGATAAAGAAAAATAGCTTGTAATTGATTTCGTTTAATCGATAAGTCGCGTACATTTTAGAGGGGCTCTCATCACTTAGCATTGTAACTGGAACAGTAGCGGAGGCACATTCCGGACTCATGAGTTCGATGGGAGTCGGTCTACGTTCTTGTAGTTGGCGCGTTATTTCTGCTGTGCTCAAGGTGCCAGAGGCACCCTTTGCAGCCAGCTGATGTTGCACTGAGGGCGACACCGTTGCTGTGGCCGTCAGCTGCTTCTTAGCCGGCTGATGTTGAATAGAGCCGCCAGTCGGAATCTTGCGCCTGCGTCCACGTGTTGCCCCGCCAACGGCACCTGGATGCGTTGTAGGAACGGACACATTTGCATCTCCCTTTTCTTTATGCTTTCGTCGCATAGTAACAGGTTCCTTCGTCGAGTCGAAGGCAGGTTGCGCTTGTGCTACTGATGAAGTCATAGGTTCCACGTCGGAATTGGAGCTGTCAGTCGCATCACTGTCACTAGAGTCCTTGGCAGGCTTCTCGTATAACAACAGTCGATCAATCAGGAACGACCGGTCACGAGACACTTTCAGTAGGCGTCGTTGATTAGTATGTAGCAGGTCCTGAAAATACTCGTTTTCCTACCAACACAAATTAAATGATGTTCCCAATACACGCATTATCACTTACATAAATGAGAAATTTTAATTTGCGCTTTAAATTTCTGTAGCGCTCCTTATAATCTATATTTCCATTGGCTGTACCAGTTGATGCCGAGCTTGTTGCAGCTGTCTGTGGCGCTGCTTCAGAAGCTGCTGCTGATTGTTTTGTATGTGCCTCTTCATCACTTTCAAGATGCTCGCCCTCTGTCTTATTAGATGTGGTCTTTTGACTAGCCAAAGACCGACAGTACCACCCATCTAGCATATTTAAGGGTTTTTATTTTCTTTCTTTTTATTTAGAAGTCTAAGATTTAATGACAAAACTACTGCAATATGATTGCCATATAATTGTAAAAACACTGAATACTAAACACAGCCCACAGCCGATATATTAGTGTTTAAGATATCGAAAATGTATCGATGTATCCAGCCTATTGTATTCGATTAATACAACTAATTCAAATAATTAAAGATTTTAGTTTGTACTTGTACTCCCTTATTTGATTTGGATTAAGAACTTAAATAAATATAAATATTTAAATAAATATAAATATTTAAATAAATATAAAGTGCACCAACTGCAGTAAATAGCAGCGTTCAAGATATACTGAGAAATTTGGACGAATAATAGGAGTCTATAAGCACTGTTCAATATCAAAAACTAAAATTATCGTTAATATCGATACATTATCAACAATCATGAGATGCTTGTGAGCCGCACGTGTTGCATTTGTTTATATGCACAATGAACAAGAAAGTTGTTATTAATAAACGCGTGAAGGGCTTGTCCCGCGAGGCGCTCGATCAGCTGAGTAAAACGGAATTAATTGACAAAATTGTGCAGCTAGAGGCGTACAATTTTCAGCTAAAAAACCTTCTACAAAAGAAACTGAACGAGAACGACAAAAACAATTGTGAGTACACAGCTCTACTGCGAAGGGACGATGAGGAAGAATTAAAACACAAGGACACCGAGAGAGATACATCTGGAAAGAAAGACAAGCAACGTAAGTTTAATTGGGCCAGGTAAGTCCAATGCAATTTAAGTTTCATTGCAATCTATGCATCTAATTATGGTTTCGATTTTAGTGCGCACACTCGGCATGTGCTGATTAAAGTAATGTATTTCGGCTGGGATTACCAGGGCTTTGCGTGTCAGGAGGATTCAATGGATACGATTGGTGAGTAGCAATACTTGATATGTACACATACATCATAAAATAGAAAATAGAATAGGTAAATTTTTCTATTAATTGTTACCAAGGAACCATGATTTGGGAAGCTTTAAAGCGTTTATTATTCTTATCTACTTTATATCTAATAATCAGAAAATACACTTACTAATCATCAAAATTATATTTTTTGCAGAAGCATATTTGTTTCGTGCACTGATACGTACCTGCCTGATCGAATCCCGTGCTACTTCAAACTATCATCGATGCGGTCGAACCGACAAGGAGGTGAGCGCCTTCTGCCAAGTGATATCCATTGATTTGCGTAGCAAGCATGCGCCTGATGTCCAAATGGAGCCTGAGGCGCTCAGCTCTGAAATCGATTACTGCAGTCTGCTGAATCGTGTGCTGCCCAAAAACATTCAGTGCATGTCCTGGATGCCACTGCGAAATCCGGCATATAGCGCACGATTCGACTGTATTTCACGCACTTACCGATACTACTTTCCCAAAGGGGATCTGGATATTGAGGCTATGCGCATTGCCTGCCAATCGCTTGTGTGCCATGGAGATTTTAGGAATTTCTGTAAAATGGATGTGCACAATGGCGTCACGAATTACATGCGCAATTTACAGGGAGCAGCGATAAAGCCATGTGATAGTACAGATTTGCAAATGCATTCAAATTCAGGTGAGTGTAGCATACATACATACATACATACATACATACATACATACATACATACATACATACATACATACATACATACATACATACATACATACACACACACATACATACACACACACACATACAGATATACAAACAGACATACATACATACATGCATACATACATACAAACAAACATACATACGTACGTACATACATACATACATAAATACATACATACAAACATACATGCATACATACATGCATACATACATACATACATATGTACATACATACTTTCATACATACGTACGTACGTACATACATACATACATACATACATACATACTTACATACATACTTACATACTTACATACATACATACATACATACATACATACATACATACATACATACATACCTACCTACATACATACATACATACATACATACATGCATAACTACATAACTACATACCTACGCCTCCTGCTCCGCCCCTTGGTGCTCCTCCGGCTCCTCAGCGTCCAGCGTTGAAGCCGCCTGCGTCTAATTCTTAGGTGAAGCCTGCAAGCCTTACTTAAATTTTTGAGAATCGAGGAGGAGGGCAGCTTATTTAAATTTGCCGCGCAACCAGACCAATTGGTCTGCTATTGATATAGAAGACAATTTACAAGTATGCATACATACATTTATACGCACATACATAGACACACGCACACACATACACACACATTCACACACCCATACATAAATACATACATAATAACATACACACATTTCAATTCAATGAATTTGGCACCTTAAGCTGCCAACATTATTCTTCTAAGGAACTTATGTACTTAAAACTTTAATTCAACAGGCTACGCAATGTACTACTTGGAGATACAAGGCAATGCTTTCCTGTGGCATCAGATACGCTGCATCATGGCTGTGCTGCTGCTTGTTGGGCAGAAGCATGAGCAGCCTTGCATCATCAGTAAATTGCTCGACGTCGTCAGCAATCCTTGTAAGCCACAGTACACGCCAGCCATTGGTTTACCATTGAACCTATTTCGCTGTGAATTTCGCACACACTCCACACGTCAAATAAATCCGTCAACGTCATCTACGGCTGCTATTGATGACCTTGATGATGACGCGGATCTCGCCCCGTCAAAGCCTGAAATCGTCGAGAATACTGAAAGCGATCTAACCGATTGGGTGTACAGTGAGGAGAATCTACAAAAGCTCATCGAGAACGTGCAGTGCGAGTGGACTCAGTTCAGCGTCAAGTGCACCATGATACGCAACGTATTAGTGCAGCTGGAGGAACTTCTTGAGCGCAACTACAAGGCTCAAGAGATCCAAGCACAAGCAATTCTACTGCAGGATGCGGTCAAGCCGCGTCAGTATCAGCCACTTCTGCAGCGCAAGCGATGTGGTGAGTGCTTTACTTTACAAATTATGTTTGATTAATAAATAAACATTTATGTATATGCTTTTTCAGAGAGCCTGGAAAATCGAATTGAGCATTTTGTGAAAAAGCAACGACTGCTTGTAACAAGCGATACAGGAACGGAGACGGTTTTGAGCAAACCGGATGGCTAAAAATTTAATCAAGTATTTAGCGTAGGTTGATGACTATTAACAAAACATATACATCAAATAAAGATCTTGAATCTATAATTTGTACTGTTCTTAACTTGTATCCTCGATATACATCCAATATCTTTAAATTTAAGCGATTTGTGAGTTGGAAATGTCTTCGCCGTGTAGTACACTTATTTTTTAATAAATAATAATACTCTATTTCGATCAATAACGATTCAAAATATAATTTGAAGTCTGTATATATAGGTACTCATTTTACGGTAGGCATTTTAATTTTCAAAAAATTGTACAACGTTTGGAAGATTAGCTTAGATTATCTAACTAATTTAAAATGGTTAATTTATTAAATTACATCATTATAGCATGCAAATAGCCTAGTTTTGAATGAGTTATATTTAGTGATACATATATAGTATGTATGCTAGTAAAGGTACATATATGCAGGGTGCCAGAGCATAACTATTACTAAATTCAAGTGTTCTATGTACATTTAACACGTTCAAACGAATTATGTGTTATTGTTCAGATATTAACAATAGTGCTAACAATTATAGTCGATATGTATGTAGAGTATATATATATATATTTGCTCCAATGCTTCCCTTATGTGCCCATTGACTTTGCCTTTTGTAGTCTGAAATAGGTAAACCGAATATGAAATTCAAATAGGCTGATATAGTCTGATTAGTTAACTTCGTCTTACTTTCGTCTTAAGATTTTAAGCACAATTGTGCCCTCGCGCACATTTTTGAAAAGTCCAATAGTTTCGGCATGACTCATGCCCTGCACGGAGTGGCCATTGATTTCCACAATCTCATCGCCTGTAATAGGTCAATTCAATTGAAATCGAAGATCAGGTAAAAATACGGCATTAACTTACCAGCTTGCAGCGTGCCATCATCTGCGGCTTGTCCCGAGGGGAAAACTGTTTTCACAAAGATTCCCATGTTGCCCTTGGGCGAGTCGCGGCCGCCCACAATGCTGAAACCCAAGGACTTCAGGCCAGGTCCTTTGAAAAACGTAATTGTCTTCTGCGTGCAGCGTCCATTGCCTAGAGACAGTGTAAGCAATAAGGATGTTTAGTGAGATTCGAATGAGTTTTAATGTGGATGGGTTATTGGGTTACGCTCACCCTCACTCATTGAGGCGCGTATGACCTCAGCCATTTCCTCGTCGCGTATCGTTAGCTTGGCCACTGGCAGCGATGGACGATGGTGCATTAGTGATGCGGCGGGAGGTGCCAATGAGGCTGTTACAGATGCTGCTGCTGATGATGATGAGGAGGATGGTGCAGTGGAGCAGGAATTAAGAAACGGATTAGGCGCAAACAATGAAATGTTTTTTGGCGAGTGCTTGATGTACAATGAATGGTGCTGTGGTGATTGCTGTTGTTGTTGTTGTTGTTGTTTTTGTTGCTGGTGTTGCGTATTATTAGTGAGATCAGTTGCTGTTGGGGTATCTGTGGTTGTTGTATTGCCATCAGGTAGATTGTTAGATGCTGTCGCCGGCGCCGTCTGCATGAACAAGCTAAGTCGCGACGAACTGAGTCGCGAATGTGCGAATCTCAGCGAGCGATAATGCGAATTGGTTAGATTGATGGAATTGCGGGCATAATGCATTCGCTGGCCGAACTGCTGGCCACCAATGCCTGTCTCGGAGGACAGTGCAGCCCCTTCCGAGCAGCGCTTTCGTGCCAGTAGCCGCCATTTCTCATCGTCCGCCAGCGAAGAGCCCACACAGACACTGGCCGCTCGATTTGCATACACCGGAGTGTACGAGTCGTTATTGTTATTGGTGTTAACAGAGGTCGAGAAGGAGGTGTCATTGTTTGATTGGTTGTTAAAGAGCGGTGTTGGTGTTAGAGCCAAGCTGCGCTGACCTGAAGAGCTGCGCGCTCTGCGCCGTAACAGTTCATGCTCTGGCGCGCTCACGTCGAGCGAGTGGCGCGGCGTGGAGCTGCGACGATGCTGCATCAACGGCATTGGCGAAGGCAGGGTACTGACGCTGGCCAGGGAACGTGCATCGCACTGATCCTCGCACTCCTCCAGTCCAGCCGCATTTCGTTCACGGTCCTGCTCCTGTTCCACTTGCAGCTGCAGGCTTTGCAAACTGTTCAGGCTGTCCGTGCGTTGTGCATAGCTGAGCCGTTGGCGCTGGGTGCTCATTCCATCAATGCGTATTTTGGTATAGAAATCTGTGACAGTGGCAATCTCATCGTGCGCTATGACCAGATCAATGCAGTTCTCCACAAAGCAGCTGAGCAAACGTTGCACCTCGCCAAACGACTGAATGCCACGCAAATGCTTGCCATTTACATTAACAATCTCATCGCCCAGCCGCAGACGACCATCCCTGTGGAAGGATAGATATGATGAAGTACAGATAAGTTATAAGTGTATATCCAAAACTTACTTTTGTGCCATGCCGTATGGCTCCAGCTCAACAATCAGATATCGATACTGCTGCTCATTGTTGTTGGTGACGACCATTTTGGGGGACAGAACCAGCCCAATGTAGTCCTCTTGACATTTTCGTTCCAACTTCAGCTGGCGGAAGCGCCGCCTGATTGTCTCCGTTTCGTAGTCATAGTTGTAGCCGCCCAGTGAGACGGGTGCACTGCAAATGCTATTGCGCAAAGAGGAGCCCGAGCACGAGCCCAAGCCTAGGCCCATTCCGACGCCCTCAGAGGAGCTGAGCGAGATGAGCGAGTTGCGCTTTAGTGTGCCTGAGGCAATAGATTCTGTATCTCCGGCGGAGATGCTAAGATTATTGCCCAGGCGGGCACCGGCTGTGCCTCCGCCCCCGCCCCCGCCGCCGCCGCCATCGCTGTCATAGCCCGACTCATTTGAACTCAGACAACTACTTAATCTTTGGTAAAGTGGTTCCCAGTCCTTGGATGAGATGCTGTCATTGCGAGACACATTCACCAGCTGTTGCTCCGGCGAGTGGCGCTGAGGCAGCGGAGATTGTGTCTGCGACGTGGTCGATGCATTCTGATTCACGGCCGCTTCCCGCTGCAATTGCTCGCGTTGTTGTTGCTGATGCTTTAGCAGCACAGAGCCACCGTTCTCCTCGGGAAGCACCGAGAGTCGTGAACGCAAAAAGGCATAAGGAAAGGCGCCACGACGGGTGGCATCCTGCTGACCGCCGCTGCTGGCCGGGTTACTTCCGCCCCCACCTTGAAGGGGGGGAAGGGAGCCCACATTGTCGCCGGCAGCACTTCCATTGCTGCTGCTGGCGGTCAGGCAGCTGCTCACCTTGGCAATGTCATCGCAACTGCTGGACTTGAGGCTTGATATGCGTGGCGAGTGCTGCTGCTGCTGCTGTAAATGTTGCCGCTGCTGCTGGCTGTGCAGATTCAGACCCTCGGTGGGATCGTCGCACTTGATGTACGAGCAGCTGGACAACTGGCTGGTCGAGCTGCTGCGATACAGCGTTTGGCTGGTTGGAGCTGCCTGCTGCGACGCTTCGGAGGCCTTTAGCAGATTGTGCGAGCGATGATTCAGCATGCCCGTGGAGCCAATGCGATGAAAGAAATTCTTCAGCGCCTTTTGTGGCCGTGTTGCTGGCTGGTACTGATGCGTCGGCGTTGACTGAGCGCTCTGGCTGCCCCTGCTTGCCGCATCCTGTGGCGATTGCAGCTGGAACTGCTGCTGCTGCTGCTGCTGCTGTTGGTGACGCTGCTTGATCGTTTCAATGGGTCCCGACTTGCACTTTTTAAGCGTACTGCCCTGATAAGCTCCAGTAGGCGTTGCTGACGGCTTCGCATTGTTAGCCTTGTGCGTTGGCGAGTGAAACAAACTGCGCAGATCCGTGTGCGACTTGTGTGTGTTGGCGGCAGGGGACTCGCTGCGCTTTAGCAAATCCAGTTTGCGACTCATGCGCTTGCCCCACGTGAACACTGCAAAAAGAGAGGGAGGGGGGAAAGCATAGAGAAGAACTCAATCAGAAAGTTATTTCTAAATTAATTATAATGCTTCAATTAATCTTAACACCTCATCGACATGGCCGCATTGACAGCCGCCACAGCCTCGCGAATCAAGTTCGAACAAATAATAACGTGCGACTGGACCTGGACTTGGACTTGGACCTGGACCTGGAAATAGACCTTGTCTGTTCTTTTTCGCATTGACAACCAGGCCGCTTTTGCATTGTGGTTGATAGCCTGTCACGTGCTCGTGAAAGGCATTGGCTTACATGATTTCCAGCCAAGAAAACCACAACAAAGGTCGGCTTTAAAGATGTGTTGATTGTTGCAACTTGAAATAACCGCAATTTCAATACGAGACTTGACAGGGTGGTGGGTGCGGCAACCTTACGCTTTCTACTACAAAAAAATATCTGTTATTGCAAAAGAAAGAAAATGTAAGGGTTTTGAAAATAACGAAAAGTCGTGTTTTAATAACGTATCTGTTCAAAATTCATTCACTCATACGTATGACGTCACTTGAGCGCGCTGTATAATCCAAACTATCGCAAAAAGTTATCGATATATCGGTATAACATGTACAACCATGTTTCAGTATTTTTCACAGTTCTTTTTTCCACTTACAGTCTACAGTCACATCTTACACCATAAACAACAATTGATTTTTCGCGTGCAAAAATGTCCGTGGCTGCTAAAAAAATTGCCGAGGCAGAACAATTAGTCCAAACAGCTGAAAAAAGCTTAAAAACATCCCTGTTGAAATGGGCACCTGACTATGACAGTGCCGCCGATGAGTACGCGAAGGCAGCAACTGCGTACAAGATTGCGAAATCATACGACAAAAGCAAGGAGTGTTTCTTAAAGGCTATTGATTGCTACAAAAACAACAAGTCCTGGTTCCATGCAGCAAGGTCATACGAACAGATCATCTTACTGTGCAAAGATATTGGCAAGCTAACGGATGTCGAGGAATATGCCAACAGGGCGTGTAGCCTTTATCAGCAGCATGGCTCACCAGAAGCTGCCGCCTCTGCGCTGGACAAAGCGGCCAAACTAACGGAAGCAAAGCACCCAGATGTGGCTCTACGCTTGTATCAGCATGCAGTGGAGGTCATTCTAATTGAAGATTCACACCGTCAAGCAGCCATATACTCCTCGAAAGTATCGAGAATATTGGTCAAGCTGCAACGGTTTGAAGAGGCGACAAAGGCGCTCAAAACAGAAATTGGGTTGTATCAGCAAAGTGAATCGTTTGGTCAAATTGGTCGTTTGGTTGTGGCGCTCGTACTGGTTCAGTTGGCTCTGGGTGACTCGGTCGAGGCAGAAAAGTCATTCAGGGAATGGGGCACTTGTTGTGAGCCCGATGAAGTCTCCACGCTACAAACGCTTTTGCAAGCTTTCGACGAAGAGGACGGCGAGCTAGCAGCCCGAATGCTGGCATCTCCATTCATCCGACACATGGATGTGGAGTATTCAATTTTGGCTAAAAATATTCCATTACCAAAAGGTCTAGAAGTTGCGAAGAAATCTGCAGGTGCCGATGAGCTGAAAAATGTGGACGAGGGCGAGGACTTGTGTTAGACGTCGTATTTTGTTGTTATCTAAGTGCTAATTAATCAATTAATGCAATTTAAATTTTAATCGTTAACAAAAATATACTTAATAAAATAATATTCAAAGTCTTCTGCCTCATATTAAGTGTGTATTCTGTATAATAATAATAGCCATGTCTACGGCAAATATATACTATATGCATTTTTGTGCATGGTAGTACCAATGGCAATATAAATTCTAAGATACCAATAATATGGAGTTTATATTGTATTTGGTAGTTTATACCAAGAACTTCTGGAATTGCTGCCACATAAAATATTAATAACTCTATATAGGAAACGGTTTTTGTTTTTGCTGCAAGTGAATGTGTTGAGAAAAGAGGTTAGAAACTATGCGTTTTGCAGCACTGTATATTTTAAATAGAAACAACCCTGTTTGTGAAAATTCGGATTTTGTACTTATTTTAAATATGAATAATTTAATTGCAATACCACAAATCGGAGCCCTGAGAGGCGGCGTAATGAAAAATTAAATAAATTTAGTGAAAATGGGTTCGGTCTGCAAGGGTATTAAATCTTCGGCGTGCCGAAGATAGACCTTATACATTCATATCTCGTTTTTCTTGAAATGCGATTTACAAGCTGTACCAGTTGGAAATAATGATCAATTGTTTAATCTGAACGAGAATTAAAATTCTTTTGCTTTTATATGCCCAAAGCTAACGCAAGGAAAATATAATATAAGTCCATGAGGGTTTCCGGTTGCACAAATTGGGCAGTGCTCGTAACTTAGTACAGTTATTAAACTTCAAACACAACTCAGTTACAAATGATTCATCCAAGTGCAATCTAATAGCGCCTTAAGAGTTTTTTATGAGCTGGTTTAACATCAATTGCCAACACTTAAAAGGCCATTCCAGGTGGAGTTTCAGGTACGGTCCGAGTTTTGGATCGTTAATAAACAAATTTATGCGCTTGTCCCATATTTATCACAGCTGCAGCAAGCTAGACAAGCACAGACTGTGGGTGTCTGTGAAAACGGGGAAGAGCGATGGAGAGAGAGAGAGGGAGAGCTGGCCAAACAATTAGTTTAAAACATGCACAAAAGAATCAGCTGCAGCAAATTGGTTGTTGTTGTGTTGCTGCTCTTCGGGAACAGCAAAGACATGGATCCAGGTATATTATGGACTCAATAAAATTTTGAAAACTATTTTCATCTACGACTTTAAGTGCGAGTCAATCCCATCGAACAACGAACAACGACCGAGACATCGGCTTGGACTCCATCGGCATCTGCATCTGCATCTGCGTCTGCGTCTCTGGCTCGTGCCAAAGATGTTTAATAGCCGCAGCCCAGCCGCGGGGGCTTGTTCCAGAGAATGTGTGGGCGCAGCGTTTGGCCCGTTGCCAGCCTCAATTCGGGTTGACAGTTGAAACAACTCCAGCTGAAACTCCACCCAGGCCTGACCGACTTTGTTTCGTTCGCCTTTCGTTGGCCAACAGCTTTGCACATTTGCCTTTGATTAAAATTTCAACACGCGCAGCCGTTCGCAATCATCTGATGAGGATTGGGGGATGGGCCGCAGCCGGCGAGTGTTAAACAATAATGGCAAATGGTGCAGGCATCAATTATATGACAGCCTCCGCCACGCGGAGCACACTCGTCGGGAATCAAAAACGACCGCCGGCCACATGCCACAAATTCTACACCCACTTAACTTTCAAGACGGTGTCAAGTGGCCGCAAGATCTGACCGGAGTCTAGCCCGAAGCTGCCTTTTGTTGCAACTCGCCGGCTGACATGCAAGCCGAGCGAGCCGGATGGAGAATAAGGAGCTTGAAATTCTAAGAGCTTAAACAAGTTTTGTTCGACTTACAAACTGTTATGTTATAAGCTTATAAATCCATAAAAAAAAATATAAACTGTCTGTATATGTAAATGCCTAAATTGATCTATTTCTATAAGAATTTAATATAAAAAGTGCCAGGGCTGCAAGCCAAAATATATGATTGTCGCTGGTTCAGTTGACAGTTGGAACAAATGGTTCGGTTCGTGAACTCAGGTTTTGGTTCGTCTCGTGTTTTCTAGCACAAAATTAAATATTTTATTTTATTTTATTTACATATTTTAGGTTTATTTTGCATATTTAACGCAATTCTCTTTTGTCTTGTTATAAATCGAACCTTGAGATAAACCAGCTTTAGAAATTTTAAGCGAACCTTAAAACAAACCAAATAGTTTAAACTTTTAAAAGTTCATTTTCTGTTCTGTACATATATTTTCATACAAACTATATTGATTTGTACATTGTTTGTCTTGCTCCAACTAATCAAAAAATTAAATTGGACAAAATGGCTGATAATAGAAAATATTAAAATTATTTCTCTGAGTTGGCCCTCGAACTATGGCAATCTATTTTTTTTAAATAAAAGAATTTGGCGAATCAAGGTACGAACCGAAGCCTATAAAACCAGTTGAACCGGATCACCGCTTAAATAGGCTAAATTTGCAAGTGTCCGAAAAATAAATTTCAACCGAAACGGTTGTTTTGGTTCAGGCATAGTTCCGGCTGCCTTTTGAGCCACTTATTCGGTTCATTTTAAAAGGAAACGTAAAATTCTGGGTGCAGTCTTTGTGTTGGATGTAGTCAGGAAATATATAGCCTTTATATTCAGATATTTTTAAAGGTATATATCATATCTATCTATATATTTCAAAATTCAAATTATCTTTCAAAACGCATTTCCCATATTTCTGTTGGCCATTATAACCCATCTATATTGCAGTATTTTAAAATGTTAGCTATTATAATGATTTTTTAATGGTTCTCTTGAGCGATTCTCTCTAAGATTCCACATCAACTCTTGGGCTCTTCTCTACCTTTGATCGGTAATGGCATTTCCCGTCATTTATTTTACAAATTCGCAACAAAGCCCGGCCCCAGCTGGCAGTATTATCAGGTGTCGCAAGCTGAGATGCTTTGCGTGCCGGCGACGATTTAGCTTCAGAGAATTGGCTTTGGCATCTGCCCGGTCTCTGTGTGTCATTCTAATGCCAATCTTAATTGATTCTAATTAGTGGCGAGGGCCCGAATGAAGATACGCTGAGTGTTGCGGGCCCAAGGTCAAGCGGCTGAACAAACGCCACGTCAATAGCTGTAAATTGCTTTCATCAGGCCTCAAATTATGGCCATGATTGGCCAACGCCAGCGAAACGGGCTCCGATTCGATTCCCACTGTGAACCGAGAATCCGTTGGACAAGAAGCAGCATGAGAAATCAATAAGCGCCCCATCTTTGAATCTCTGCTCGCCCAGCTGTCGGCAGTCCACAGTTGGCAGTCGGTAAAAACGTAAAACATAAACGCTATAATTTGGCCTCTGCGCCGGGTTCCATCTGCCATCTTCAACCCAGCTCCAGTTGGAGCAGTTCTCCAGATGCTCGGCGCTGCTCGCGCTGCTTTTGGCACTGCACGCATGCGCATTTATACTGGATTATCGCTTATTACATGTTTCTTCTCCTTCGACTTGATTTATTTCGCTGGCCGATTATCGATCTCCGCTCAGTCAAGACATCGGCTCCGTTTCCCCTCCAAGCGCTGCGCCTGCTCCGTTATGCGCCGATCTAGATCGGAGAATTGAAGTGCGTACGTGAGATATTATTGTATGCCGCGTGCATTCGCTGGCAATTCTTTGTTTGTTATTGTTGCTGGCAATGGTGTTGCCCGTGGTGCACATGTTCTGGGTCGACTCGGCTCGGCTTGGCCCGGTTCGGTTCGGTTCGGGCACTCCAAGGCGCATTATGCAAATGTTGTGATAGTATTTCCCATGGCATGGCTATTGAACTTGTTGGCCAAGTCAAAATAATTTTATTGTTATTATTGCAAATCATAGAGCTGCAAAATATCAAGCTGACTTTTAAAAAGAACTGGCTTCCGGCTAAGACAATACAACTTCCGTATATTAGATCTCTGATCCTCGTTGGAAAGTTGCCAACCAGAAACTCCTGAAGTAAAATTTATACTTTTCTTGAAGCTTTAGAAAGCTTTTCTGATTGCGTTGTTCCTTCTTTTTATACCCTTGCAGAGTGTATTATAATTTTATCTCGAAATGTATAAGGCATAAAAGGAGACAACTCCGAGCGCATAATTCTTGATCATTATCAACAGCCGGCTGGATCGTACCACTATATCATTTAGCTATATCGGGCAACTATATCATATAGCTGCCATAGGAACAAACTCGGTATTTATTAGTTTTACTAGGCTCCCCATATATATGCAAAATCCTATTAAGATCGGGCAACTATATCATATAGCTGCCATAGGAACGCTCGGTTGAAAATGAAGTTCTTGTATGAAAAACTTTTTTGTTTGTCAAGATATCTTGACCAAACTCGGTATTTATTAGTTTTACTATGTTCCTCATTCATATACAAAACCCTATCAACATCGGAACACTACATCATATAGCTGCCATAGGAAAAATCGGTCGAAAATGAAGTTCTTGTAGACCTCTTGACCAAACTCAGCATTTATAAGTTTTACTGTGTTCCTCATTCAAATACAAAATCCTAGCAACATCGGATCACTATATCCCATAGTTGCAATAGGAACTATACGTCGAAAATAAATTTGTTCTGTGGAAAACTTTTTTGTTTTTCAAGATATCTTGACCAAATTCGGCATTTATAGGTTTCACCATGTTCCCTACCTTAATGCAAATTCTTGTTTACATCGGATCACTATATCGTATATCTGCCATACGAAAGATCGGTCGAAAATGAGGTTCTTGTATGAACAACTTTTTGTTTTTCAAGATATCTTAACCATACGCGGCATTAAATATTTTCCCTGTGCTTCTTAGATATGGGCAAAGCATTATGGGCATTATGAAAGGGTTCGGCCAGCAAGGGTATTAAATCTTCGGCCCTTCTTTCTCGTTTTTATGTTTATTTATTTTTTGCAGTCATGTATTGTAGATGCCATTTAGCTTCAAGCCCAATCGTTAATGCATAATGATCCGATTTATAGGGAGCAAACCACAACAACATCTTAGCGCATGTCACACAACTCTTCCAGCTGTATTCTCCACATTGCGAATCATCGCTCAATGGCAGCAGTCAAATGGATCACATAATGCCACGCTTTGTCACACTTGGTCGCTTATGGGATTTAGGGCCGTAACCGAAACCGCAGTCAACAATTTGCCCAGGCCATACCATAAAAGATATAATACCACTGCGAGTACCATCCCAGTTCCAGTCACAGTCGCAGTCGCCGTCGCAGTTGCCAGTCTGGATCGCATTACAGAAACGGCGGCGCACAATGCAAAATCGGGTCAATACGGTATTAAAGGGCGTGCTTTTTACATACACGCATCGCCCACTTCCAAGTATCGATGACAATCGCGAGTGCTCGATGATGCGTTGACAGATGCGGAAATGTTTTCAGCCAGCAGCCGAAATACTCGAGCTCGAGCCACGGCAAATTGATTGTTGGGCCATGTTATGTATGTGCAAGCGCCAATTAAATAACGCTACAAAATAAGCACTGACTGCCATCTAATTTATGGGAAATCTCTAGCACTTAGGAGAGCTACCAGTTGGCTACGATTGAAGCCCATCAATTAAGTAGGAAGTGGAGAGCGTAAATATAGATTGCTTGGCATTTGGAGGGGCGCATCATTTAAAAATCAATTTCGGGGCATTTAAGGCTTGAGGCTTTGCATCTATTTTGGGCTGACTTGGTTTTTGTTTTAATCATAGGGCTTGACGTGGTACTCACCATTGCGTGTGGTGCTTGCCAAGGATGAGGCGCTTCCGGTGCCAATGTCGCTGTTCGTCTCAGCCGCTGCTGGTGCAGTGGCCAATTTTTGTTCATCGTCCAGGACAACAACGGGCACGGCCGTAACCAGTTTGTAGTCGGGCATATGACCTGGAAAGTGCAGCAAGAGAAAATTTAACTAGACATTCACATAATTCGTAAATGGGTGCATTCCCCCCTAGTCCAAAAAGAGCAACGACTTTCCACTGATAGGTTCTCAGCAGCACACAAATACGCAAAGATAAGCACAAAATGCTTAAGAGCTTTTATGACAGGCTAATGCTTGCATACCCTCACAGACTTATCAATTTAATTTAAGTATAAGTAAATAATTATTAAAAATTTAGATCTGTTACAATATTAAATTTGTAAATTCGGAATATCTGGAAATATATTCAATAAATTTATATAGCTAGTTTCTATAGTTTCTAGTTATTCAAAGACAATTCACCTAATAACTGATCAGAATAAAACTTAAGTATGTAAAATGGCACGTCAAGAAATATATTAAGACAATATACATACGTAGGCGATTAACACACCAACTCGCTGGCGAAATCGTATTACTCTGTGACACTCTATAAATATGAGCTGATGAGGAAGTTGCTGGCAGTTGGCATGGAGATGGTTGGGCGGTTGGGTGTTAAGATCTGGCTGCCATTGTTGGCAATATTGTTGGCCAGAACAGATTCGGAGGCCGGTTTATGGATCAATTTGCCGACAATGGTTTTGCAGCAGCTAAACGGTTCCAGTTCCCAATTCGAAGAATGGACCAAGCGGCTAAGTGAGAGCTTGAGCCCCGAGCAGCAGCAGCGTTTGGCTTGGAATGTGGCCTTCCTGGAGACACCCAAAAGTCCGCTACAGTTGAGGCAACTGCAAAATAAGCTCAGCCCTAACAGCAGCATCGATAACCCGCTCAAACTTCGGCTGTGGATAAGCTTTTATTGGCAACTGCGGCGCTCGAATCGCTTGAGCAGCAACAAAATTTTGTTGCCACATTTTGCGCTGACACTGCGTCAGCTGCAAAGGAATCCTCTGTGGCGTAGTGCCCAGGTGAGGAATATGTTGCAGAGCTTGCCAAATTTATTGGGCGTCCTGGTTAGGAGTCAATGGCTGTGTTTGAAACATGACCGGGATCAGTTGTATGCTTTGCCGGGAGAGGCTCTGATGCTGGGCGCCAACAGCAACTGCTGCATGTGGCAACTTCCAGTGGCAGACACGTCCCAAGCATGGCTACGCCTGGAAAATGCATGCGAGACGCAGGCAACTTGGTTCATCAACATGTTGCAGCCGACCGACTCAGGCACCTACACTCTGCAGAGCGCGCCTAGCGACAATTCGAGTTCATTCTGCATTCGAAATGGTGCGGGTTATTTGGTAGAGGTTCACGCCACAACTGACACTGAGCAAAACCAAGAAACACTGGGAACACATGATTGCCATTGGCAGCTCAACGATTGCACTCAACTGCCAATGTTATTGAATAGGTATTTTAAAGGGTAGATATAATAAAATGTATGGTAATTTGAGATTATTGTGACGAGAGCCAACAAAGCTTAATGAACCTACGATAGTTTTAATAAATCATCTGTTGCGATAACTTGTAATCGAACGTCAATCTCCTCTCTATATTATTGGTTACCCGATATACATAAGTATGTAGCCTACGATAGTTTTTAATAAATCATCTGTTTCGATAACTTGTAATCGAACTTCAATCTCCTCTCTATATTTTTGGCCACCCGACATATATATGTATGTAAGTATTAATATGATGAATTAGTAATTATAATTAGTTAAATATATATTATAATTTAACACGTATCTCAACTGATATGTGGCCTCTTGTATTATCTATATGGGAGCTTCTGTGCCATTAACAAACATTTTTAGCCCTTTCCACTTACCATTTGACGCCAGCGAGATGCTGCTGCCATGACATCCTCCCGATCCGTTCAAATTTGACTTCTCATACAAGCAGCTATTGGAGGCTGAGCTAGCAGCGGGGTGAAGACGCTGTGCCACATATTGCTGATAGTGCTGCTGTTGATGCTGTTGATGTTGTTGCTGGACGCTGCCGCTGCTGCTGTTGGCGTAGCTGAGCAGATAGTTTGTTGCGCTGGCATTGTTGACATTGTTGCTCAGCTTATTGGGCACATAAATGGTTGGTTGTTGTTGCTGCTGGTGCTGTTGCTTGTGCAAAGTGTTGGCCTCCTGCAACGAGAGCACCGATAGCCCTGACGGCGTCTGGCGTCCACTTAGCAGACATGTGGGCGTGGCTGTGCGTAACGGCTGCCCATTATTGCCAGTTGCTGCTGCTGCTGTCGCTGTTGCTGTGGCGGCGCCATTGCTTGTTAGGGTTGTGCAGCTTAGTATCATGACGGGCGAGTTATCGTGCAGATCAGGCAAGGATGAGGATATGGCTATGCTGCTGGCAATGCTTTTGCTGAATCTGTTGCTGCATGTTGCCAAGGCGTGAGTTTTGTTGCTGCTGCTGTTGTTTGGCTTGCTGCTGCTGCTGCCGCTAGGGCAAGTGTTGCTGTTGTTGCTCAAATGTTGCTGTTGCTGAGCGGCGCTTAAAGTGCTGTATGTGTCCGTAGATTTGCGCGTTTTAAAGAGACGCATACTATGGGTTGTTGCTCTGTTGTTTTCGCTGCTACTGTTGCTTCTCTTGCTGTTGTTGTTGTTGCTGCTGCTGTTGATGTTGTTGTTGTTGTTAGCTGCAATTGTAGGAGTGGCACATTAGATTTTCAATCGAGTCCAGGCAAATTAGTTAAGGCCTAAAAACCCAATTTGCACACAATTTCTATAAGCATTCCAGTTTTTCACATTTTTCTTCATCTGCATTTCGTTCAACGGAGCGTATAATTAACATAAATTACAGCTCGCAGGCGCGTCGAATTTTCAGCGGGAATAGGTGAAAATTTTCGGCGCTCTATGCAAAGTGTTGATGCTCTGCAATGGTTGGAGTTCGCTGCGAGCAACAAAAGCAAATGCAAATCATTTAAAATGTTTGACGACTTGTTGCTGTTTGTCTTTTTCCCCTTTAAGGTTTTATGGTCAAGCTAAGTGGGACCAGTTAGTCAGTTTGAAGAAAATGCGGAAAAAGGAAACAACTAAATATAAACGGAACGCGTTTAATTTGGATGTCAAGAGCGCCAATTGATAGCAACATATTGAATAATTATAATCTATATATATATATATAATAGTATAATTATTATGGAAGTGAAGATAAGGGGTTTGAAATTTAGAGCAGCTCCATATTATACTGAGAGACGGACCTCACCCAATTTTAGATGTTAAATAGCTGGTATTCAGCGAAAATGGCTCATTATTTTAAAATTAATTGAATTTTAATGTCATCTGTCACTTTGTACACTAAAACCTATAAAAAGAATTCTATTTATAGTGCCAATTGCGACGCTATCTGGTCGCTATACGCCAATCTGGGGGGAACCTTCTTATTGGTGACAAGCTCTTATCGGTCTTATCAGAAATATAGCATTAATTCTGCGGGCTGCAAGCTGAGCAGTTATCAGTTCAATAAACGCATGTAAGGTGGTTATCAGAACGCATTAACAACAACATGTGTGCACAGTGTTTTTATTTTGTGTTTGCCACTCGCTTGCTTAATATTTGTGTTATTGTTGGCGTGCCATAAATATTTGCACTTCACTTCAGCTGTTGGCTAGCGTACTCGTAAATCAAGGAAAGGCATTTGCTCGAAGGTCGGGCAACAGCTGCCGTTGCCATTGCGACACATGTGGGTGGGTGGGTGTATGGCCAACGAACCAGGCAATAGTTAACAGTTAGCAGCGAAAAGTTAACAGTCAGCTAACAGCCAACACGCAATAGAAAAGAGAAAACGATGTCGTTGTCGTTGTCGATGTCGATCAGCAGCCACTTAGATGGCTAATTTACACAACTGCCTTTTACTTTTCAAATTGGCCAACGTACTTGAAAGTAGTCAATGCTAAATTAAGATTAATGCTAACCAAACAGCCAGCCACTCATTCGAGCGGATCCTCTACAGCGCGAGTCAGCCAACCATCTAACCAGTCAATGCGCGTCCCGTGCACCTAATTGATGTGACATTTGCGTGTGCATCTATGAATGCATTTACTTAGATACGATTGTATTGCACCCTGGTCAAGGTGTTGTGCTTCATGCTCACAATTCGAATTAAAAATAAAAATTCAAAAATTACAAACTGGACTACATGACTTAATAAAACTAGGTTCATGAACGGAGCCTAAGTTCAAAGAGTTGGTTCGAACCGTGAACCGAATCACCGACATTTTTGTTGTTTCTAACCCTGGTAAAATTACTCTATATTGATTTTATTAAAAATATTAAAATTAAACTTGATCTACATGCAATGGTACCCATTTACCAATCTAAATATTTAACATCCTTGGAGTTTGAGCTGAACTTTTTTATACAGACAAACATAGCAATAACGACGTAGCTCTTGATGCTTTTATTATGTACTATTATTATGTTTTGAAAGGTAAATATTTCCAATTAGTAAAGCTTTCTTTTGGTTGGGAAATCATGTTGAATATATTTTCTTTATTGCAACAATTACGCTCCGATCTTGCCATTCTATTACCTTTCCCACTGTGCAGCGCCACTTAGTCAAATCGAATGACGTCCCATGGCGCTTTGACCCGTCCGGCGCTTCCCCGCAAGCGCCAGGGCTACTGTGTGGCAATAATTTTGCTAATTTTATCAGACGCTTTAAGCCTTGCCTGCCTGATTTTTATGGACGCTTTTAAGCGGCGCTCAGTAGGATCTCTGGCGCTTGAAGCGCCTGCACAATATGTCGTCATAATGTGGATTTAATTGGCCTTAGAATCGATGTAGTATATTTTATGTGTGCGTTTCGAAGTCCTCTAATTAATAGAGTAAAAGTAAAACTTTAATGGTTTCTTAGGTTGCGACCTGCATAGAACCGAGTCATAGGCGCAGTCATAGTCATCGTCGCAGTCGCAGTCGCCGTTGCAGTGGCCGTTGCCGTTGGCCGCGTAGTCGTTCCAATGGCCGTCTTGTTTATGGGCAAAACCTGTTTCAAGGACGCGACGTTGGCGCAGTTCCAAGAACTGACTCGGCTCATTACCGAACCGAACGACGGGGCAGGGAGTCAGTGGAAGAAAAAAAACGTGACTCTGATTCCCCGACTATTTTTTTAAGCTGCAGCGCAGTCGGATAGGGCTTATAATGATGCCCGGGACTCCAGCTCGAAGCCCTATTTCACCTTCTCCCATTTGCGGTGCATCTCCGCATTTTTTACACTTAATTTTTTTTTAATTTGCTTGTTCGCAAATACAGCAAAAGAGTTTTTTTTTTTACTTTTATTAAATTTACTAACTGCTTTTTTGCACATACATATCTCTCAAATCGCAGCTCATGGCTTCTGCTCCTGGCAACAAATCAGAGCCGGCTGCATAGTTGTAAAATTCCTGCAAGCAGGCCGTGGCTACCACAGCTGTGGCATGCGGCAAGCTGTGCCCCAATACCCATACCACAGACTCTGGTGCACATACTTAAACACACACACACGCACATGCACACAAACAAATATCAGACAGACAACAATTGCGCCATTGGATTTGTTCCATGGGTAGTCATTAAAGTTAACGACTGGAAAGTGCACAAAGCACACAGTGAGTGAGAGAGAGAGAGATAGTGATGGAAAGAGGGAGCGAGAGGGGAAGCAAAATAAAATGGAAGGAGTAAATGAAGAAAAAGATAGGGTTGGAGGGGAAAAGACAATACCAGTTTTTACGTCAGATCCTTCTAATACATTAAAAATCTCTGCAAGAAAAATTAAATCAACAATTAAACCTGATGGGGCATAGATATTTAATATACATACAATGCGTACATATAAATATTTGTGTGTCTGATAGCGCAGAACTTATAACTGCAGGGTATTCGACTTCACAGCTTAGGTTTCTCGATGTAAATTTATATGCTCATAATGGCTACAAATGAGGGATTTGCTTTTCATAGAGAATAACTGCTCCACACTACTTTAAAAGTCATAAAAAAGTTCTATAAATCTGCTTATTGATCCATTTAACGAGTGTTTTTTTATTTTTGTAACGGTTTTAACAAGATGTTTGTATGGATATGTATGTCATAAACTTTTCGTTCGACCATCGAACCTTCCAAGCAAACAACAGCATTAAAGGCATCCAGCAGAGTTTGCCTTTTGTTGCCACAACTTTTGAGTTATTTTTTCTGTGCATGCCTTATTTTCTTTATATTGCCTATCTGCCATGCGCCTACATAAGCCTAAGTGTGTGTGTGTGCTGTACGTGTGTGTGTGTGTCTGGGCGTGTGTGTGCGTGTGTCTGTGTGTACTTCTGGCAAGTCCGCATTCTTTTAAAGGTTGCCAACTTGGCCATAGTCGCCGGGCAAGTAGCCAGCAGTAGAAGCCACAGCTTGCAGACCAGTTCGATATGGACCGAAGCATAAACCAAAACCAAATTGAAACCCAAAAAACATTTGCCCACAAGTTTTGTCGGCGCATGGGTCCAGTTTTCATTTTCGTTTTGCGCCCACATTTCTGACCGTAGTTGTTGTTGTTGCCAAAGTTGTCGGCGAGTTCTGAGTTACCGAAAAATTGTTTTGGTTTTAATGCGGCGCCTCAGCATATTTCGTTTGGCTACCAAAATGCGGGTCGCACGTAATTCTAATTGCAGTAAAAGACACGCTCAGACACGCTCGCTTCATGCCATGCTGCTGCATGCCGGCAGTTGCAACTAGATCGGCGACTTGAAAAGCTGCTGACCTTCACAGTTCGAGTGCGACATGCTGCCACCTGTTTGCCCGGTCCGCGAGAGCGGCCGAGATTTTTAGGCATTCCTGGCCAAGTTGCTAATTAAGCATATCAATATACATATGTATGTACATAGTTATGTTGCCGCGCTGCGGATGACTCATCATCCGAGCAGGTTGCTGCTGCCTGAGTCCCATTTCTGCTGATTGCTGTTGTGATGTGGCCATGTTGCTGGAATGCCGGGCCGGCAAAGCCGCATCGCGTTCTATTAATAGTTAACCTAATCAAAATGCAGGCGTGTAAGCAAAGCAAAGCATTTGCAATTTGCATAGTTGTTGTCGACTGTTGCTGTTGCATTTTTTGTTGTTGCTGCTGCAGCTGGCAATTAACTTTGGCATGTGCAGACATTGGTCTAAATGTCAAGGTAAATTATGATGCATTCAGCTATTACGTCTAATAGTCAAAAATGCACATGCACGTGTGCAACTATTTTTAGTTGTTCCTTGGCTGTGGCTGTGGCTGTTGCTGTTGCCGTTGCTGTTGCTGCCAATTACAGCTTATAAACTTGTTGTTGCGGTCTTTGCTCCTCGTGCCTCTGTTGCTGCCTGAGCATATTGTTGATGTATGTCTCTGGCTGCGCCCTTTTCTACGCTAATTAACCAGATGCTCCAACTGTGGCTGGCAATCGCACTGGCAACAGGCAAATACCCCATCAAAACTGCGAACAGCCGCCAGCGTTTGCAACATTTAATCATTACATTGCTGCGAAAATCGTATCATTAGCGTTTTTACGATTACGCGCTTTATCAAAATAGCAGCGACAACAGCAACAACAGCAACAACAACAACAAGAGCAACTGCAATTGCAGCTGAATCAACGGCAACTGTTGGTAGCTAGTTTCTAGTGGTTATCGTTGCCAGCCGACCAGGTAATGGCAGGCTCTACAGTGGGTAGAAGGATATGCACTTGCTAGGGCAAAAACAATCTGAATCGTTGATAAAGGAAATTGGACATTCTCACTAAATAAAATAATAATTCGTACTTAAGCCTAAATACAACAAATATCTACATATGTATATTATGTGCTAACAGCAAAGTTTTACTTGCACTTTTGGCGATCTGGCATCACAGAAATTGATATTTACATTTTAAGTTTTTAGTCTTTGATAAGTTTGGTTACACTGGTTTGGATATTCACAATATTTAATTTGATAACTTTGGTTACACTAATTTGGAATTTCACAATATTACGAAAAGTATAATAAATAAAGCAACTATTGTTAAAATCGAGAGATTTTGATGTAGAATGTTAACTTTTCAGTTCCATCTACATATATAACCAAACACTTATTGTAAAAGTAAAATTTTTGTTATTGTTAAGCTTAACGTCTTAATTTCTTTGGCTTTCATTTGATTATTTGATATTTTCAATTTATATTTAAATAATCTAAAACGGTTTTGTTCTTGTATTTGTTGTTAGTTTTGTGTTTTAATGCCACTGTATGGCACTTGATTAAATATTTTGTGTCTTTTCTGGAGAAAATTGCACAAGTGCACACACACACACACATTCAAACACACATGCAGACATGCAGACATGCACACCGTGGCGCATGGTGCAAGTGCGCGTACTTAGAGCAAAAAGTGAGGAGGCCGCACAAAAATTATAATCAGTGCTATCAGTGAGCAAGTGCTGGTTGCCGCCGTCCGTGAATGCTGCCACTATTGGCGATGCTGCCGCTGCTGTAGAAGAAGACAACATTGTCGTTGCTGCCGCACGTACATGTAATTTTTTTAATTGCATACAACAATTTAGAAATTGGTGCAGCAGCTAGGCAATTTGGCGCTAGGCATGAAAAACTAACCAGATCAAGAGCAGCAACTGTCTGAAGCAGGTTGACAATTATATTTGATGGCTGCCAAAAGAACACCTACAAGCCGACAGATTGATGTTGCATAAACTGTTGAGCAACTGTTGCCGGCCGGTAAGCTAATACTTTCACTGCTGTCGTTGCTGCCACAAGCGACTGGTGAGTGACGCCTGGCGCCAGTAGCTAACACATGTTAGCATTGGCTTCCAAGGATGCAATATCCTGTGCTGGTAACTTAACGCCAACAACATGTGAGGCAACAATACAAACACGGTCAAAAGCTGTTGATGCTGCTTCTCTTAATCAGGTGTTGCGACTGATCCGCAACGACAATTACACACAAGCTGCTGATGTCGCAGTGGTTGCCGCTTGTAGCAATTATGCCATGAACTTGTTCTCACCGCGCAACTACAACACGCTCTGAAATGACAATTTCATTTCAAGTTGCTGCTGCTGCTGCTGCTGCCCAGTGTCTGCGGTTGTTCAACTCCAGCGCCAGCTCCAGCTTCAGCTTCAGCTCCAAATGTAACTGCCAGCCCAGACATAGTTTCATGACTTGTCATTAGCTAATGTGAAGGCGCGTTCCACTGCCCAGTCCAACGGCCCCTCCGACTCGGGAGTAATCAGTGGGCCTAGAACCTCAATTACATGCACACCACTCAACTTTCGGGCTGAACCATCGCTGATCGTTGATCGTGGATAGCAGCTGGCGTTTACCTATTACCTTTTGCTTGGAAAGTCGTAATTAAGCTATGGAAAGCGAGAGATGTGCACTGCGTGCCGGTGTGAATCCATGTTGTTGGCAATCAGGTGTGAAATGTCAATTTAAAGCACTTCAAAACAAAGGCTTGGGCTGTCCAGTTTTGCGGACTGAGCATGTACTCTTTTTTGACACGAGTCTCGACTACACCTTTTATCTTTTATTTCAAGTTTATTTGTTTATCATATATTATTTATTTAAATTTGTTTGCAACTGCAACATTCAACATTCTTCGCATTGCGTCCAATATCTTTTTTATATTCTGTAATGCCCATGCATTTTATAGCTTCTCCTTCATTACATTAATCCAAGCTCTGGGCTAATAGCCTTGTGCATGTTGTCACAGTTCCTCCGCTTGCTTTAACACCTCAATGATTTTGTGTGTCAGACCACAATCAAACAATTACAACAACAACTCATTCCTCTACACTAAAACCATAAATACGAGTATTTTAAGACTTTACGTCGATTTCAACAGAGCAACAGATGGATGTAGGGGTACGGGTACGGGTAGGGGTAGGGGCCTTCAAGCGGCACAAGCAATTTCGAAAGATGGCACTTTTCACTTTTTGCCGTTTGCTGCTGTCAGCAAGTTGAAATCTTCACTTGGGGAACGGGCAACTCGAACTGGTGACAACTTAGAAGCTCATCATTGGCTGTCATATCTGGTGTTTGTTTACTAATTGCTGCCACTGTCGCTACTCATCAATATGTATCCAAGAGATTCGTTTTCGCATCACAATTATATGCCGAATATATTAACTGTTTCCGCTGTTGGCGGCATGCTTATTTTAAACATGTTATCGATGTCATTTTATTTGCCAGCACTAGCTGCAAAATAAGTCACCATTGGCAGAGAAGACAACACTGGCAACAACAACTGCAACAACAACAACAATTATATTCCGAATATATTAACTGTTTCCATTGTTGGCGGCATGCCTACTGAATACATGTTATCGATTAATATTGTTATCGATGCCATTTTATTTGCCACCACTTGCCCATTAGTTACAAACACAAATCAAACTAACAAGCAAAATAAAAGAAGTGAACACAAACAGGCACAGCAACAACAACAAAAACGGCAGCAACAACAACAGCAACAACAACACGCACACGTGCGTCATTCTGCGTTCATTGCTCGTTTGTTTGCCACTCGAGGCGAAAGCAATTTCCTTGGAAAATTGCTGGGCCAGGCCAACGCCATCGTCGCCGTCGCCATCGCCATCGCCATCGTCATCGTCATCCCAAAGTCGCCTCAAGTTCTACGCAGCAGAAGCGCTTCATCAATTTTTATCGATGAAGACCCATTTGGTTGATAACTCCATTTGTGGCAAATGTTGAGCACGCGCGTTTTGTAGTTGCTGCTGTTTCTGTTCTTGTTGTTGTTGTTGTTGTTGGTGATTCTACTACTGCAGTTATTGCTGTTGTGCAGTTGTTGTTGCCGTTAGTAAATTTCGCGCGAAAAACGCCAAAGTTGTTGGCCTTTCATTGTTTTTGTTGTTGCTGTTGCTGCTGCTGCCATTGTAAAAGGCAAACGCACGTGTTGCTATGCACGCTATGAGGATGTTGCTGCCGTAACAGTTGCTGTTGCTGTTTGCTGTTTGCTGTTGCTGCTGTTGCTGTCACCGACCAGTTGGCTGGCCCGGCTGCTTTGACCGTTTAGGCCAAACTTGGTAAATTGTTTTGTTGAGCGCTGAACGTTTTTGTCCGCTGAGGCCTTTCTTTTCTTGCTGTTGTTGCTGCTGTTGCAGCTAGTACTGCTTATGGGCCTGCGAGTAAGAGTTGCATACTAATGCGTGTGGCATTGTTTATATATTTTTTGTATTTTTTCAGCAATTTTAATTACTACTTGCCTGGGCAGGCTGATGCACAACGAGAAATTAGCATTGATTTGGTACAATTTACATATCAAAGTCGGCAGCAGCAGCAACTTCCTGCCATATCAATTGCAACAGCAACAACAGCAGCAGCAGCAGCAGCCGCTTCATCTTTTGCCGGTGTGCAGCAGATGTTTTGGATGGGTCAAGCGATCGCCACCAGGTCCAAGTCTCTAACCAACAAGCTGCCATTTACAGAGCGTTGCGCCCACCGGGCCGCAGTTGCCACTGCTGCACAGGCACGGCTGTTGAGTCCATTGGCCTCATGCTGTTTACTTGCACCACTTTTTGCTGTTAGTGCAACATTACGTGTTGCTGTCGTGCTGCTGTTGTGATGTTGCTGCTGCATCTGCTGTGCGAGTGCTCGCACTCATTGCGCTGCCCATTTTTTCAGTGGGTATTAAAATTACTTGGCATGTAATTAGTTTGCTTTTTGTACCCTTTGCCAAGATCACTCGCTGCGTGTGGCCCCAAAACGTTCGTTTGAGGGCTCGCATAATGTTGTGTGTGTGTGTGGATGCGACATGTTGCCGTTGTCCATGCTCCTGCTGCTGTTGTCGTTGTTGTCTGCACGCTAGAGGTGTTATTTTTATGGCTTTATAATGTGACTCAGTTTTTGTTGCCGTTGCCGTTGATGCTGCTGCCGCTGGCGCTGTTTATTACCCCGTTACGTGGCATGTCAATCACTTGACCCGCAATGCAGTTTGCGCAAACAAAATGCAACGAAGCCAATGAAACTCTCATTAATTCAGAGCGACAGATACAAAGAAAGGGAGTGAAAGTGCAAAGCCAGCAATATGCGTGAAATGACGAATGGGCACAATTTAAGACAATTTCAAGAATTTTACGTGCAAATCGAACCCTAAATGAATCCTTAGATTAATCTAGGTTGACAACATGTTAAGACTTTGCAGATTCCTATTATGTTTAGGTTAGAAGGAGACATTATTAAATATATATTTTCTCGATCAGTATCAACTGAACCATGCAAACTAGTCTGTAGATCTGTCGTTGTATTGTAAGCAGCAATCGCTTTATAGACTCGATAGATCGGGTTGAATTTAGTTATTCTATAAACATCTTTACTTTATACAAAATCTTGTCAAACAAATCACAATATCATATAGCTCTAATCAGGTCAAAAGTTAGATTTTGTATAATTTTGTATAAAGTGTATTCAACGTTCGTCGTGTTGCACATAGCTGCTCTTTCCTGTATTATAAGATCTTATGCACAAATTGCAATTGACTCTGTTTTTTCTTGTTTCCATTTGTGCTACTTTTCGCACAGAGATCGTTTCTCCGTTTGAGTTGAAAATTATTGTGATTACTGGCGACTTTTAGCCGTGAATTGTTATATTTCTTTTTGTTGTTGTTGTCCAGATGTGCACCTGTTCCACTTGCAGATTCTCTTTTTATCTGCCTAAATTAAGCTGTTTGTAACTGGTAAATTAAGACATTTCTGATTTTATGTAGAATAAAAATATACGCTTTGTATAACCTGTCTAAATATGCACCAATTATATTTTGAAGAATTGTTCTGTCAGCTTGAAGCAGGATGGATGTGAAATGCGATTGAGAATTGCTGTTAAGATACTTTTGGGAAGCAGGTTTCTGCAACCCGAGCAGACTTAGTTATATATTCTTGATCAGATGCGGCCAAGGCGTTTAGTTTCTTATTGTTTTGGATTTAATAACATTATCAACAAGCAAAAAGCTGCAAATAAAAGTCGGTTGTCGGTTATAAGACAACAAATTGTATACAAATCCAAAGTTGACAAAACCTTTAGCGTAGTAGAGTAACTAACTAACTAACTAACTAACTAGCTAACTAACTAATGTATGTTCCTGAGCTGGACACAGGGTAACTCTCAGTCGGGCACTCTTCACTGGAGTACTGCAACTTGTTTCAGTTGTTGCAGTCGCTTTTTAAGTTCGAATTTTTGTACATAATTGTAACTGAAGTTATTTGGCATAGAAATGATAATGAATCGATGCAGCTGCATTGTATCCGAATGCGTGACTCTTGACGCGTGCTAATGATATTCTGCTACGAGTTTTATGGTCAAGTTCGTTGTCTAAGTCTTTCGTTATTATGGACTCAGAGTCTGAAAAGTGTGCCCCCTCAATGTCAATAAGCGCTCGTCTTGACGAACTCTCCTCATCTCAATGTGGGTCATCATTATTATCAGATCCGTTGGCGTCGTCTGTCGCGCCCAAAAGCTGTGCCGCTTTTAGAGATCTGCCCACTGGCGGGGGCAGAAAAAATTCAAAAGCTGCCGGCTGGAGGCTACCTCTGCATCATAAACACGCAACCAAATATTGCCTACGAACAACGAGAAGCACTGTGTTGGCACGTGAGCGTCGAGCAATGAGCATAACATTTATTTATTATGATTTCGGCATTATGCGGCCCAGAGCCAAGACAAATGTCTTACATAAAGTGCGCGCACTCGAGTGTTTTAATGTGTTGCAGTGTGGCTATAAAAATAACAATAATTTTTTTTGCCTATCCAGCCCACATCTGGCTGGCAAGCTCAAGCTCATAAAGTTACAAAATGTTAATGAGCAGCTACATTTGAAACAAAATCTTTCGTCTGGCTGACCTTCAAAACGAGCAAACAGATCAAATATTTGTATCTTGTGTGTCCAAGTTGCCACATGGTGCCACGCCCTTAAAGCTGGCCCCAAAATGTGGCTGCCACTTCACAGTCGCTGCTGTGCTTTGAGTTCCTCACCACAGACGTGCAATCCATCAAAGTTGCTGTTCTTCGTTTGGCCCAAAGGCAACATCTGCACAACAACAACAACAAAATACAGCATAATACATACGAGCAATAATATTTGTTCAAAGTGTTAAGGCAACAAAACAGCGCACAGTAGCCGACACTGGCAGCAGCAACACAGTAGCAGCAACAGCAGCAGCAACAACACAAACAAGTAAGAGGCTCTAGTCGGGAGCTCCCGACTAGGGGATACCCTGCAATGATGAAAGATACTTAATATATATATTTACTATTCTAAAAGCTACATGTCAAGTTTGGAGTTTTCTAGCTCATATTATTTGCCGAAATTGCTCAAAAAACAGGATTTCGATATCGATTTTTATCGATTACTTGGAAACGGGGCAAGTTATCGAATATCGGAAACAAATTCAATCTGCGCGGGCACTAGGAGGACCTACAGCCAAAATTTCAAGTCTCTAGCTCTTATAGGTTATGAGATCCTTGCGTTCATACATACGGACGGACAGACAGACGGACATGGCTAAATCGACTTGGCTATTGATGCTGATCAAGAATATACCTTATATATATACCTTATGGGGTCGGAGATGCTTCCTTCTGCCTGTTAAATACAATATACCCACTGTACCCATTTTCAATGGGTTCAGGGTATAAAAAGAGGAGCAACAACAACAACAACAACAACTGCTTAAGCAGGCACAAACAACTGGACAGGATCTGCGGGCAGCGTTTGCTTAGATGGCGGCAGCCATAGCCATAGACGACAACGTTTTGTTTTAATTTTCTCAACGCCGCCACCTCCATCACCGCCCCCCTTCGCCCCTTCTGCAGCCGCTGCTGTCCAGTTGCTGGGTTTCCTGTTTAGATAGTTTTTGTGATTTTATGTGATACACCTTCATGTTGGGGCAGTGCAGTTGGCTGGCAGCCACTTTGATGTACGTTCACTTTGAAATGTTGTTGATGAGTACGCGAGATTTTTAAAGATTGCGGCAACAAACGCTGCGACAGCGGCGCTGGCGTTGGATCGGCGGATGGGAGGCTGCGGCAGTTGGAGCTGGGGCTGTGGCAGAGACTGTGGCTTACATAATAAATTTAAATGCACGCCTGCCTGGACACCTGAATAGACGTCAGTACGCGGACAGACCCCGCCAGCTAGCCTAGCTGTTTGTCGACTAAACGACCGACTGCCTGCCTCTGTTGAATGCGGCAATGTGCACAGTGGAAGCAAAGTCGAAAATATTGAATAGAATTAATACGTTTACGATTTGTCTATTGCAACGTGTATTCCTCTAATAATTCCTATATCACGAATACACTCCGTTTTTGCCTGGACCAAGTTTTCAGTTTTCCACACATTTTTCGATCGTTCCAAAATGTTGAAACACTCGTCTCAAGTTATATTTAACATAGATATTTGAAAATTAGTTTGAAGTCAAACGAATAAAGAGCCACAAGTTGGAATCAAAGTTTTCTGCCGAGATCCAAAACAATTTTTTATACTCATTCTTTCATAATGTAGATATTTAACAAATAAAACCTTTGATCAGCAGGAATCGAGTTTTCAAACGAGTAAAACGCGTCTTATATTCATTTTTATAAAGATCCTTGGAAATACAAACTTTAAAGGAGCGCTGAGTTTTCGAAAATCGTCTCATTTGAAATCGTCTCAAACGATCCTCGGAACTGAGTTTGAGCCCAAACATAAAAGTTTTATACATTCTACGATCTTTCGTAATATCATAATATCGTTTCCTCAAATTTACTGTTCTTGGGTCTTGAATTTCCTAAAGGTAACTGCAGTGAAAATTGCCCTTTTCTGCTCCTCCTTCGTCAGTCTATCTATTTCTAAGACAGCTATTTTCTCAGTCTTAAACGTTATTATGCGTTATATAGATCTGTTATTTTGAACGATTTTTTGAAAGTTTATTTTCCGCAGACGAACCTTAAACACAAAGGCTTTGTGTATGAAACCCCCTTTTTTTAGGTTAGCTGACTAAAAGCCAATATATTTTATTTCATTCAATAATCAACAGACAATAAACGCGTTAAAATTCGCAATAGGTTAAAGGCAAGGCGTGTACAAGCCTGGAGTCAATAACAAAGTCTGCTCATATTATTATTGTGAAGTTCTTAACATACCTTTACAGAAGATCGGCTACAAGGGTTTTATTTCAAAATGGATCAAAGAATATTCAACTTTCGCATATGCAAATAATCTGAAATAATGTAACCATTGAATTTTCCAAATAAATCTATTAAAATGTTTAAAGTCGTTCTAAGACTTAACTCAACCAATGTCTGCGTATTTTATACGACATTTTTCAATATCAGTTCCCTGTAGGATGGTGTAGACGAAGTTTCAGCTGGGCTACGAGTTGAGTTCGGCTGAGCAAAACTTATATATAGCCCTGTTATGTGGCCAGATTTACTTTCATTGCATGGATAGATAAAATCAGGGTCATTTATACGTTTACTTAATTATTTTAATTAATCCCAAGTAAGCTCAGCTCTTATTATTTTCGCAAAACTCGTCCACTGTGCTCGACTCGTGTTGAGCTGACACTTGGCTAGCGACTAAGAGATATTCGATTTAATTGCCAAGAGAGCCAGAATAAAAGCAGCATAACCCGAATTTACGTAGTTCAAACTACACAATTAAATAAAATGAAGCAAATCAACAGAAGCCCTCACAGGCTGGGCCCACAGTAGGTCCAGCGTCGGGGAGTCGGCCTAGTTATGGGGCTGGACTCTGGTGACGCCCAAAAGACCAAGTCACGGCCGCCAACGGCAATTATAGAGCATAAAACATTGATAATCATAATAATTAAGCATGACTGGCCAGAATGATCGCCGCACAGCACACAGAAGCGGCAAGGTTGACAACAACAGAAAAAAGAGCCAACAGTAGCCGCCGATTACAGAGCTTAGAATCAAAGTGACCGGGATGGGGACGGGAACGGGAACGGGAACGGGAACTGGCCAACGATGATGCATCAAATTGAGGGCTCTGCCTCAATCCGTGTAGTCTTGTCGGTCCGGCTTTATAATAACTAAAAACCGAGGCTGCACATAAATTGTTAATTAAAATCATTTGATTTTGAGACGTAAACGTGCATATTACAAACAAAATCGATGCACAATGAATTGTGTATTTAAGGCTCGCATTTAGAAAGTGCTCGCTGCTCTCCATTCGATATTGTGCATGTGTCTGAAAGTCACCTAGAACACGTTCACATGTTCACATAGCTGCTTACACAATCACGAAGGCGGCCGCCTACTAAAAGCTTTGACCATTGATCTATAAATCCATCTTAGGCAGCCTTTCGAGACAGACTCGGTATTTGCATTTTTCAATAACGCTGCGGGCCACGCACTAAACATAATAATAAACTTTAAATAAAAATAAACGAGCAAGCCGGGCTATCTTCGACACGTCGAAGATTCAATACCCTTGCAGAGCCAACCTTTTCATAATGCTCATAGTGCTTTGCCCGTATCTGGTTAAGATAATTTTCGACCGATCGTTCCTATGGCAGCTATATGATATAGTGATCCGATGTAAACAAGATTTTGCATAAATGTAGGAAACATGTTGAAACTTATAAATGGCGATTTTGGTCAAGGTATCTTGAAAAATAAAAAAAAGTTCAATACAAAAACTTCATTTTCGACCGATCGTTCCTATGGCAGCTATATGATATAGTTGTCCGATGTAAACAAGATTTTGCATAAATGTAGGGGACATGTTGAAACTTATAAATGGCGAGTTTGGTCAAGATATCTAGAAAAACAAAAAAGTTTTCTATACAACAACTGAATTTTCGACCGATCGTCCCTATGGCAGCTATATGATATAGTTGTCCGATGTAAACAAGATTTTGCATAAATGTAGGGGACATGTTGAAACTTATAAATGGCGAGTTTGGTCAAGGTATCTTGAAAAACAAAAAAGTTTTCCATACAACAACTGAATTTTCGACCGATTGTTCCTATGGCAGCTATATGATATAGTGATCCGATGTTGATTGGATTTTGTTTATGAATGAGGAACATAATAAAACTAATAAATGCCGAGTTTGGTCAAGATATCTTGATAAACAAAAAAGTTTTTCATACAAAACCTCATCTAAGACCGATCTTTCCTATGGCAGCTATATGATATAGTAATCCGATCCAGCTGGTTCCGACATATGCACTGCGTGCAACAGAAAGAGCGATTTCTGCATAGTTTCATGACGATAGCTGTAAAACTGAAAAACTAGTTCGCATAGAAACAGACAGACAGGCAGACGGTCAGACGATCAGACGGACATGGCTATATTGACTCGGCTGTTGATACTGATCAAGAATATATATACTTTATGGGGTTTGGAGATGTCTCCTTCTATGCGTTACACATTTCACGACAAAATTAAAATACCCTCTGCAAGGGTATACGAATAATAAAATGCGAATAGCTGTATCAAATTATTTATGAATTTCTGAATTCGCTTTGTTTATTTTGGTGCTTTTGTTGCACAGTTTGGGGCCATTGTTTGGCTTGGCTATTAATGTCAAAACTACTGTTAAAGTGTTGGATCTATTGAACCAAAAAAAGGTGTTGGAACCGAAACGCGATGACGAGGGCAAACGGCAACAATTGCCAATTTGCCTTAATTGTGTTGACAACACAAGAAACACAGAATGAACAAAAATCTGTTGTGCAGAATCAGAGCTACAAAAATAATGCAGACAAATATTGCACAAAGCAAATGGTCGACTCTTTTGTAAACAATGAAAATTCAGAAAACTTTATTTAAGCTACCTTTTAGCAAATGGGCAGCACTGACAAAATGATGCTGGAGAATGGATTGGAATGGAATCGAGGGCCATAAATAAATAAACTTAATGACTATGGTCGTGCCACAAAGACCCAGCCGCTAGAAGGAACTCTAGAAGATATGTGACTCAAACATTTAAGAATTAATTTGTTTGTGGAAAGTCTTCTCACTTCTTGCTCATGGAACGAACAAAGACTGACGGAAATTTAATGATTCATCACATATAAATGTCTCTTTGTTAAATGTTGTTGCAATTGAAAGTCACCAAAGTAGTCTCAGTTGCCACACGTATTTATCGGAGCACATTCATCCCAGAAATGCTGGGTACATTTAATACCTGGCATCCATTGTAAATGACTTTAAAAAATTCTTCTATTATATGCAATAGTTGTGACAGCCCCATAAACTACATACACAGTAAGCCCTCGCTCTGCTCGACGTTATCCTAAATCCTTCGTAATATTGTAGATGAAAATAAAAAATTTACGTAAAGTATAGATCGGAGATTTTCATTTTTTTTAAATAAATAGAACAATTAGTAATTGTTAATCCAAAGAAAGACTTATTCAATTTACACACATTTATTTTATTGTGAAAAAATCAAATTTTTTTATTAGAATATTGAATATATCGATCTGAGCCGTAAGTTATGTGAAATTTGAATATTTCTTTTGTGTGTACCAAATGCAGATCATGTTTTTTTTCAAAAATCGATATCGATAAATATCGAATTCTCAGAGATTTTAATAAATTTCTGTCTTAAGCTATCGTTTGGACATTTTACTGTTTTGATACCTCAACATTGACAAAAATTGAAGAACTTTAATATACATTTACGTATTTGAATGCTATATTTAATCCCTAAAACTATTTTTAAGATCAGAAGGAATATATGTTGTCGCCTTTATATTTAATCATGTTGAAATATATATTATTCGTTCAAAAATTTGGCCTGGGTAAAACTAGCTGATATACATATATGAATATTATTCGAGTTGTATTTGTTATTATAGCCGACTTATTTACACTTATTGCACTGTAACTTGTCCCATTTCTTTACCTCTGGGCTAAGCATAGTCACTTGGGTATATTTGGGTCCAATTATTTGTAATTTACTGCGATTTCACTTTACGTCCATTTCAAGCGTGATTTGTTTAGGAAAGCACTCAAGACCTGGTAATAATTTCATTTAATTTTCATAACTTTTTGCAATAATTTAATTTTCGTAGATTTTCACTTTGTCTTTTTACTGGCTTTTCTTTTCTTCACGTTTAGTAAACGCTTTTTCTTCTCGCCGCTGCAAGTTTTTTCGCTGAATTCGTCATTTGTCAACTTTTCTTTTAATAAGCAACACGTTCAACTGTCGCCCGTGTCCAAGTTGCTTGTGCATTTAAGCAAAACCACAAATAATGTGGAGCTGGAAAGGGAGGGATGGGGGCACAGAATAGCAGCTATAGAAAAGAGCAAGAAAGATTGAGAGGAGGAAACTTGAACTAATTGTTTGGAAAGTCATTTTTTACTGTCCCAAACTATTGACTAAAATCGCTGGCAATATAATTTTGTTATAACTGGAGCATGAAATATTTTAACACAACATCTAATTTGAAGCCCAAAAGTAGCATTCACAAAAGCTAACAAGCAAGAGGTTCTAGTCGGGCGCTCCCGACTAGGGGATACCCTGAATCCTCTTCTTCCGTCTTGTTATATATATACTATTCTAGAAGCTATATGTCATGTTTGGTGACTCTGGCTCATATTATTTACCAAAATTGCACAAGAAACAGGATTTCGTTATCGATTTTTATCGATTACTTGAAAACGGGGCAAGGTATCGAATAATGAAACAAACTCGATCTGCGCGGGCACTAGGAGGACCTACAGCTATAAATTTCAAGTCTGTAGCTCTTATAGGTTCTGAGATCCTTGCGGACGGACGGACATGGCTAGATCGACTCGGCTGTTGATGCTGATCAAGAATATATATACCTTATGGGCTCGGAGATGCTTCCTTCTGTCTGTTACATACATTTGCACAAACACATAATACCCTTTTTATCCATTTTCAATGGGTTCAAGGTATAAAAAGATTCTGGTGAATTTAAATATTTCCGCCTAATATCGAATCGCCAGTAATTATGCATCGATCGATTGCTGACCAACGACTAATGATAATTTAACTCAATTTTTGCGATTTCCCGGCGCCGTTTGCGGAGCTTGTCGCAACGCGGAAAGCGTTTGCTAAAAGGCGGAAATATGTACAAAATTGCAGAAAGAAACTTAAAGTCGTCGTCTCATTGTGAGACATCGACTCCTTAATGGGCTCCGATCGAGTGATACCCACATAAACATTGCCAATTGGCTGCAAATGTTACTTTAATTGCTTGGTAAACAAACTTCTTGATAAGTAAACTAGAAATGGTTTAGCTTACCCCTTAATTGATTTGCGACTGACCGATTTAAGTGTGATGCGATTTTGCAGAGCTGAAAGCATAGCAAAGTTTTGAAAAGGGATTAGATAATTAAATATTTAAGTCTATTATTTATTGATATTTGATTTATATATTTGTGACGTTTTCAATGAGATTTGTAAGATATACACAATGGCAACAGCTCCAAATCGCCCGAAACAAAGCGATTTGCATTATACATAGATGTTAATGAACTGGGCACCTGTTCAACAAAAGCAAAGACAATAGACCAGAGTCAATGGCACAGTGGGGCATATTGAGTTGACAGCGCATAAAAATGTTAGCGCATGTCATGTTATTCAACAGAGGCCGCCCGTTATGAAACTTGCTTGCCAACAGTTTACAGTTATCGGGTCTGTTCAGATGAACTGTTGAGCGAAACTGTGAACCACATCAAATGCGCTTAAAATGCAAACAAAATGTTTTCAGAAAATAAAAAATACAAACGAAAACCAAAATATTTTAAACGAGGAGAATAAAATTTAAAAAACAACAAAAGCATACAAAAACGGCACGCAAACCGGTTAGAGCATAATAATATCGGGTCGAGAAACGAAGAACCGGTTGGATTTAAGCCTTAATATATACCACATATACTTATTTCATATTGGCACACTCGCTGCCAAACAGAACCAGAATCTGAATCCGTCTAGACGCGCACAAGTATTAACAGGAACTGCAAGGGACTGGGCCAAGCAATTATTTAAATTAGCCAAGCTGGCATATACACATGTGTGTACAAAGTGACGAACAAATTAATTTCAATTAAACGTTGATTGAAGTTTGTTTGAAAATCATAAGTCGCAGCGAACGCGAACGAGATAAGATCTAAGCGGCTTCCCCGTCTGACAGGCGTGAAGTGAGCCAAATTCATTTTTTGGCAGCGCAAAAAAAAAAAACACAGTCGAAAATCTCGCAGAAAACGGCACCAAAAATCGCCGAGTTTATTGCCTGTCAGGCCAAGTGACGGCTGCCCAATCTTGCAGTCGGTGTCGTTTTTTTCCCTATCCTTTTTTTATCAGTTTTTTTTGTTGCATGGTAAAGCTTATTGAAAAGTCTTCCGCTTTTCGAAAAAACGACTCGTAGCGGTTCGGGGGGAGTTGCGCGCAGATAAGCAATCGGCAGGTTTTGGGTTGCTGCTAATCACAAGGTGCCTGTCCTGTGCCCGCCAGTCCATTGATTTATTGGCAAATTTCAAGTTAACACTTTTTCCTAAATTGAGTTATTTATTTCGCTGCCTGCTGCTGCCGGCTGCTGCCAGTTGCCGTTGTTGCACTTTTGCTATAATTTCAGCACATGAGGTCGTCACGTAGCTGGCACTGCCAGGAGTAGCCGGACTCCGGCTCTCCGTCGTTGCATTTAGATTTATATTCATAGATTTTGGCAGTTGTGTTAATGAAGTTTCTGATTTATGTGCTAACATTGGCTTAGAAAGTGCACAAATCTCTAAGTAATTCTTATTTAATTTCATTTGAATTCGAAATAAATCGATTGGCGAACAAATCTATGCGCTTATTTTACAAGTTAACAGAAGGATCTTTATAAAAAATCAATTTAGACGTGTGCCACACATTCGCATGGGAAAGGCGTTCTGTTAACTTACAGTGCGGTGGCAACACTCTGTTAATTGACAGCAATTATTGTACAGGCTGTTAAAGGAGTTGAAATGTTGCAGCACGAGAATGAAATGGACAATTCGCCTTGATTGCTTTAAAGTTTCGATTGTTAATTTGATGGAAATGAAATTTATTTTTAAATATTTATGTAAAATATTTTCGTGCAACAAAGCAAACGTATTTGAAAGCTTTCCTAAAGCCGTTCGTTTTAACTTTGTATTATATAATTTAACAGCAAGAAAAAAAGGAAAAACTGTTTCACTTATTACCCGGAAAACTGAAGGTTAACTTCACCGTGTGAGCAGTCGTTTGTGTGGATAGTTTGACTTAGCTTCAGTTGTCTTTTCCTTAACGCTTTTCCCATTTCCCATAGCAAAACCGTTAACCGTAAACCAAACAAACGGCGTCATTGCCAAGTGCGACAATTAGCGCAAAAAATGTAAAAAAAAAAAAAAAAAAATGTACAACAAAACTAAAAGAAATGAAACGAAACGAACATTAAAAGAAAAAGCAGCTGTAAAATATTCACACAGAAAAAGATGCCGCCGCATAGCAGAAAAATCGACTGAATTAATAATGTGTATATGTATAATGTTTTAATTAATGTTTTCTATCGATAAGCAGGGACAGATACACATAGAGAAAGTTATACGCACACATAAGAAAGAGAAATACTCGTAATACTCACGAATTAAAGCAATGTTAATTCGAGTCTTAAGTGCGTGCTGTCTGAACACTCGAATCATCTAGTGCGCGGGGGCACTGATAAGTGTATAAACATATACTATATATATGTACTTATTCATGTAGGTGGCTGGATAAGTGGATGACTGGTTGCCGCCCGCCCGGTGAAACTTTGCGGAATCTGTCGATGAAAGTGCGAATATAGTTGGAAGTCGTGGGAAGCTTAAGTTCGGGTTGCCCTTATCGGGCCTGTTGGATTATGATTGATTCAATAGATCATGAATGAAAAGTCGCAGCTAGTTTGGCCTAGTTTTTGTCGAAATATGTTAGGGAAAAATATTAATAAAACCATTGATAGGCCCTTCCCTAGCTTTGTCTTCACACACAGATAACACAATATCGAGTCTCAATTTTAATTTATGCCCAACTCAATACTAGTTCCTTGCTTTACTAACTTTGAAACAAAATTATCATGGTCAGCCACTTATTTGAGTTTATTTTGTATTAATACAAATACAAAATACAAAAAATAATAAAAAATATTATAGCCGTCCAAGATATGATTACTTTTTACATTAAGTCGCAAATCGATTAGCTCAGAAATCCTTTGTTATATCATATATATCTTAGATATTAGCTTTGGCATATTGTAGCAGAGATTTCGTTTCGGTTTGGATCGATCTTTTTAAGTTATTCCAGCGCGTTGGTAGCCATAAAAAGTGCATAATATATCTGCTTATCACATTATAAATTTGCAATTTTAATAGCTCTCTTAGCTAAACCTAGCCAAACTCTGCCAAAAAGGTCTTACATAACTTCAGAGCTTCGGTGAAAATTTCTATTTACGAGTCTCGACGGCTTAATGAGAGGTCTTTATGGACCGCTAAACCTGCACTTGGTTGGCAGTTGGTTTTTTTTTTTTATGTTATGATAGTTGTGGGTTTCGCTTTTCCCGAACTACAAATTTTGAACGTTGAATTTCATACTTTCGCTTTCATAAGAGGCGCATACAAAACAGTCTACAGGTTTTTCGTTTGCTATCTCAAAGATTTGCAATACAAAATTTTCTAACAGACGGTTACAACATTTTTCATTTATGCTCATTTTTTTTTTGTGGCACTCTGTAAACACAGTAAAAAAGAGTATATAGGATACGACCGGGTTGGGTTAAAGAAACCCATATTTCCTAGACTTAAGTAAAGTCTTTAAAGTTCGTGCCGTTATTGCAATCCAAACAGAGTATTGTGCAGTCGGTTGCATTCGCTTGCAAAGTTCTTAGTTGTTTTTTTTTTTGGTTTTTCTGTGCCAAGCTGCACTTGGGCAACCAATTAGCAGCCGACCCGCCAACATACACAAATAATAAATCGAAATACTAATAAAAATAATACAAATATGCAATGGCAGCAATAGAAATAACAGCAACAACAACAACAACAACAACAACAACAACAACGGCAGCTTGTTGCATGTGAGCTAATGTTGGCAATGCAACCGGTTGCTGCCCAGCCGAAAAATCAACGAAATCAACAAAACTGCAAAGACTGAAAAGACGGCAACAACGACTTTCCATTTTCAAATGCTTTTTGCTGCTGCGGCAACATCGACAACTGCAACTGCAACAGCAACAACTGCAACAGCAACAGAAAACGGCAGCAACATCGACAACTTTTCATTTCGTTTTTCACGCGGCGCATGCCAAAAAATACAAAAAAAAATATATAAATATAAAAGACGCAACCAAAAACAGCAATGATTTCTAAAGCCGCCAGCAGAGTACTTCAGTTTGGTCGTTCAGTTGGTAACATGTTGCAAGCTGCCAACTTAAGATCGTGCCACTTGCCTTTTAATAGTTTAGTTTCTGTTATTGCAGTTGCAAAGTTGTCAACAATATGCATGCAAATGTATTTTCTTTGTAACAGAGCTTCAAATTAACATTTTTTTACATTAACATTGAAATTAACACTAACATTAACATCTACATTAGCATTAACATAAACATTAACATTAGCATTAACATTAACATGTATTTATAATTGAATGTATTTCCAAAATATTTACTTTTGTATTTAATTTGTAACAGAGCTTCACACCCAAATAGAAAAAATAAATCGCAAAATATCTGATGATGCGCATTCACTTAGTCAAGATTTACCATTAATTTACCCAAACTTAAAAATGAAGCGTATACGTGCTGCGACTTCTATCAAATACATTTTGGCTTGGCCGTTTTGGAGAACTGAAAACTGAAACTACGCGCAATGTCTGCGCGCTGTCTACGCAGCTGGAAGTCCCCGCCTCAGTCCCAGTCTCAGTCTCAGTCTCAGTCAGAGTCTCAGTCAGAGTCAGAGTCGGGCCGTAGACCCTCGTGCCTCTCCACTAAGGCAATCGCAGTCGAAGTCGAAGTCGAAGCTATGCGGCAAGTGCGGCAATGTTGACAATTTTAAGTTGCATGTTGCTGTTGTTGTTGTTGTTGTTGCTGTTATTGACCGGTCTTTGCCTTTCACAAGAGACCGGGCCATGGATATTAGTGGGCGCAATATAGCCACAATGTTGTTGTAGTTGTTCTTCGTGTTGTTGTTTGACTCTCAACTGTCGACGCTTTTGCTTTTCACAGCCACAGCAATAATTGCTCAATGCCTTTTTTGGGGGCTGCCAGCGGAAACGTTGTTGATTGCGACTTGCACTTGGAATACTGGCGGACTCTTGATCGAAA